GTTGCTTGCTTCCTGCCGCTCCGTCCTTGACTAGAGGGGCATTTCCAGGGCTCACTTGATATGACTTTGATATTGACTGTTGTGTTGGTGGCTCAGTCGTGTCTGACTCTTTGCGATCCCAGGGACTGTGGCCCGTCAGGCTCCTCTGTCCATGGGATCCTCCAGGCAAGAACACTGGAGTTGGGTAGCCATTCCCTTCTCCAGGGGATCTTCCAGACCCTGGGATCAGCATGGGTCTCCCGCGTTGCCAGCAGGTTCTTTGCCATCTGCGCCACCAGGGAAGACTGTCTGTAGGCAAGGAGTTAGTCTGTGCAGTGACAAGTGATGCTCTGAGATTAGGTCCTTAATAATTCTGGGGATGTCTTACAGCCTGGCTGTGGTGGAGAACCTTGGCTCTGGAGCCAAACTGCCTTGCCTAAATCCTGGTCCTGTTATTCACCAGCCACATGATTCTAGACAAGTTAGTTAATTTCTTCCCACCTTGGTTTCCTCACAAAGTTGTTTTGGAAATTAACTGAGCTGAACCAGGCAAATGTTAACCAGTGCCTGGCACACGGGAGTACTCAATGCATGCTCAGTCACGTGGCTCTGTCCGACTCTCTACGACCCCGTGGACTGTAGCCTGCCGGGCTCCTCTGCCCATGTTATTTTCCAGGTAATACTCAAGGGAGTTGCCATTTCCTCCTCCAGGGGATCTTCCTGACCCAAGGATTGAACCTGCATCTCCTGAATTGGCAGGTGGATTCTTTACCACTGAGCCACCTAGGAAGCCCTGATAGAGGCTAGCTATTCCAATTACTATTGCTTAAGCATGTGTGAGCTATGAGGAGAGTGGGCTGGAAAGGAATAAAGTTCATGGTGTATTCACGTTTTAATATTATTTTTCTTAATGTTGCTGTCTCTTATGTGATGACTGTACATTTAAATTAGGCTCAGCAGGTCATGGGTTGAGACACTGGTTGGTTAATAAAGGAGAAGCTGATAAGTGCTATTGCTTCAGGCAGGGAAGTCGGGGCAAGAGGGTGGATATCAGAGGAAGTGGGAGGGGCTTCTCACGTGTGCTCTATTCTGGTTTGAGGCTTAAGTGTACTGCTCGGCTGAGGCCGGGCCCGTTGTCCCTGCCTGCCCCCGCTGCCCCAGAACACAAGTATCAGGTCTCTGGGATGGGTTGCCCCCTCATCATTAGAACATCTGTTGAAGGCACTTCTCTTAATCCTGCTCATCTTTCTCAGGCCTTGACTGAGCCTCTTCTGAAAATCCCCACCTGCAGTAATTGCTTTGGAATGTCCATAGCACTTAACGTCAGCACTGCCCTGCTGGCTCTGATGTGGTGCCTGCTTGTGCTATTGTTTCGTATTTTTATGTGGATGACTCATCTCCATGTTTGGATAAAGGCTCTTGGGGCTGCACGCTGACCATAGTAATGGTGCCTTACATGGAACCGTTGGGTATTTAATTGATCGCCCTGATGGTGGTGTAGTCGCTAAGTCATGTCCGACTCTTGCGACCCCTTGGACTGTATCCTTACCAGGCTCCTCTGTCCATAGGATTCTCCAGGCAAGAATACTGGAGTGAGTTGCCGTTTCCTTCTCCAGGGGACCTTCCTGACCCAGGGATCGAACCCAGGTCTCCTGCATTGCAGGCAGATTCATGACCTGCTGAGCTAGGAGGGAAGCCTGTCTATGCACAAAATTGAGCATTATGATTTATCCCTTCAAGAATAACATTGAGAGTTCTTTTGTGTGATGTGCCCAAGTATTTGTATGCCTGTAAAATATACCACATGTAAAAAATAAAGAGTATACTTGGGAATATCCGGTATCCACGCCATCATCAGAAGAAATGCCTTGAGGGGAGATAGTTACCCTTAGGAGGAATTAGACTGTAGGCTTGGTTTTGGAGTAGCAGCATGGTAGGATGGTAAGAATTTAGGCTTAAGAGAGGGACAAGACCCCACCGCTGCCGCTAAATAGCCATATGACTCTAGGCAACTCAGCTCTAGGACCCTCCATTTAACACAATAGTAAAATCTACCTGGCAGGACTATTATTATTCCCAAATGTGTCCTGAAAGAATCTGGACCCCAAACATAGAAAAATGTCAGATGTTGTTCAGTTGCTCAGTCATGTCCAAGTTTTTGTGACCCCAAGGACTGCAGCACCCCAGGCTTCCCTGTCCTTCACCGTCTCCTGGAACTTGCTTAAATTCATGTCCATTGAGTCATTGATGCCATCCAACCATCTCATCCTCTGTCGTCCCCTTCTCCTGCCCTCAATCTTTCCCAGCATCAGGGTCTTTTCTAATGAGTCAACTCTTTGCATCAGGTGGTCAAAGTATTGGAGCTTCAGCATCAGTCCTTCTAATGAATATTCAGGACTCTTTTCCTTCAGGATGGACTGGTTGGATCTCCTTGCAGTCCAAGGGACTCTCAAGAGTCTTCTCCAACACCACAGGTCAGAAGCATCAATTCTTTGCTGCTCAGCCTTCTTTATGGTCCAGCTCTCACATCATTACATGACTACTGGGAAAACCATAGCTTTGACTAGATGGACCTTTGTCATCAAAATGTCAGATAATGATAGCTATATAACAGGTCTTTGACATTAAAAACAAAACAAAAAAACCTTTAGGAGATAAGAAAGGCTACATGAATAGAGTGTGCATTGTTTTGATCTGCACATCATACTCAAGTGCTTCGGTTGCCTATAGGATAACTCCACTAAAATCTGACACTTAAACCCAACATCCAAGGATCTGTCCCATGTTACGTTTCCCTGTCAGAGCTTCCTGAAAGTGAAAGTCGCTCAGTCATGTCCAACTCTTTGCGACCCCGTGGACTATACAGTCAGTGGGATTCTCCAGGCCAGAATACTAGAGTGGGTAGCCTTTCCTTCTCCAGGGGATCTTCCCAACCCAGGAATCAGACCCAGGTCTCTGGCATGGCAGGCGGATTCTCTCCCAGCTGAGCCACACGGGAAGCCTCAGAGCTTCCTGCTTGTGTCTGACTGGAGGACGCTCAGCCTGCACACACGTGCTCTGCGGCCCCGGCCTAGAAGACCCTGTGTTCGCACCTGCTACCCAATGCCTGCCTGTCTGCTGCACAAGTTTTTAGGTCACATGCTCTGTCTCATCACCACCAGCGCCCCTGACCTCAGCTGTCAATGACCTCTTTGCCTCTGAACTCTTAGGGCACTTGCTGTTCACGTCTTCCTTTTGGCACTTGTATTCACCTTTATCATTACTTCATTTTACATGTGTATAGATTATATACATAGGACAGACAGAATAGGACCATTCTTAACCCTTACTTTTCTTACATTATGATACATAGTGTGTGTGTATTGTGAAATACAGTATATACCCAAGAGGATGTACAGAAATGTTCAGTTTTAAGAAACATCCACCACCCAAGTTCAGAAGTGGACTATAACCAGCATCTTAGAAGCCCCTTTTTGTCTCTTTCCTATCACAGCTTCCGCTCTCTTCTCAAGATAACCAGTATCATGAAATTTATATTGATTACGGTTTTCTGCTCTTTAAATAGTACTTTTTTGGTTTGTTCTTATGTAAGTATTCTTATGTAAGTAGATTCATATGTATGTATTCATATTTACATACATATGAATACATGTATTCATATTTCTATTTGAATTTGTATAGTTTTTTCTTATGTTTAAAAATCTAGTGACTGCAGGATGTGTATAGCTGCAGCTCATTTATTTTGGTTGCTGTATTGTATTCTATGATATCAGTATACCAGAAGTTGTCCTTAAAAAAACAGAATGGATAAATAACCATTAAATTTCGGTGACATTCAACAGTCAGCAGTGTATTTCTTGCTCATATGTTAATGACTAGATTGCGACCGCTCTGATCATCTCAGCTGAGTTAGGAGCCAGGCCACAGGTTTGATCCTGATCTGTTGCTAGCGTCTCATTCTTCTGGAACATTCTTCTGCTGGCAGAAGTTGTAGCTTCTCAGGGAGGCTGAACAGAACAAGCAGTGCTTTTAGGAGGCACTGTCCCTTCTGCCCACATTTTGTCGGTGAAAGCAAATCATGCAAATGCATCAATATCAGGGAGGCAGGAAAGAGATTGGGCAAAAAAGCCAATGTTTGTGGAACAGTAAACTCACCTGGTGTGTGGCCGTTGTGGTTGTCTCTCGTTAATGACTATTTCAGACAGTGCTGCGGCTGTGAACCTTTTGATTATGTCTCCTGCTGCGCACGTGTAGGAGTTTCTCTCGGCTTCATGCCTAGGAGGTGAGCTTCCTTCTGGGTTTGAAGCCTGAGTGCCTTCAGCTTTCCTAGGTCGTATCCAATGGTTTTCCAAGTGGCTGTACCTTTTCTATCCTGTGTGTGTGCTTCAGTTGTGTTTGACTCTGTGCAATTCCAAGGACTGTAGCCCACCAGGCTCCTCTGTCCATGGGATTCTCCTAGCAAGAATACTGAAGTGGGTTGCCATGCCCTCCTCCAGGGGATCTTCCCAATCCAGGGATCGAGCCCGCGTCTCCTGCGTCTCCTGCCTTGCAGGCAGATTCTTGACCACTGAGCCACCGGCTCTGTCCTTGGTGGATGGGTATTTGGTTGTGGCACTGACCCACTGTTACTCTGGGGTTTTTGTGTATATCTACCATACAGTTGAGGACTTCCTGGTGGCTCAGTGGTGGAGAATCCGCCTGCAGTGTGAGAGCTGCAGGAGACGGGTTCGGTCGCTGGGCCGGGGGGATCCCTTGGAGGAGAGCTTGGCAGCCCACTCCAGTGTTCCTGCCGGGAGAATCCCGTGGACGGAGGAGCCTGGCCGGCTCCAGTCTGCAGGGTTGCAAAGAGCCGGACGAGACAAGCAACTCGGCACTCAGGCACAGTGGACCCTTGAATGATTTCAGAAGTAGGTCTAAAGTTTCTTCAGCGAGGTCAACTTTCTAACCACGACTGAAGGATGGAAGGCGCACGGTCAGTGCTCAGAATTCACTAACTGTTCCAACTTGTGTCCACTTGGCAGGTTTGGTGCAAAAGCCAAAGTTGTGCATTTCCTAGGAGGAACCAAACCATGGAATTACACTTACGATCCTCAAACAAAAAGTATTCAGAGCGAGTCCCATGATCCCAATATGACTCACCCAGAGTTTCTCAGCCTGTGGTGGGACATCTTCACTACCAGCGTGTTACCTGTGCTTCAGCAGTTTGGCCTTGTCAAAGACACCCACTCCTGTGTACATGTGGTAGGTTCTCTTTTTTTCTTTCAGGTAATTTGGTGTATTGTTTTTAAAAAGTTGGTATACTACTAGAGACAGACTTTTTAAGTGGTATTTTGAACAGAGAGACAAGTTAAGACTTTGTGGAAAGAAAAGAGCGTTCATCTTAGAGGAGAGAAATACTACCAGCAAAGATTAAACCAGAAGTAGATTTGTGGCAGATTTCATTAGCCTTGGGAGCACAAGAAAGGTTTTTAGAGGTTTAGACTGACAGATGTATCTGTATATATATCTATATGTTATAACAATAAAATTCTTAGTCCATTGTCCTAAGACTGTAAGATTATTCCTAAAGTAGTGGTTTACAAGAACAAAGAATGCCCCAGTTCATGTTTTAGAAGCCGCAAAAAATTTAAATATACCTATTTTAGTTGTGCCATTTGTGTAGAAACATATTTTTCAAGTGAAAATTACAATAACAGGAACATACAATAAATACTTCTCTGGGATTATTTTGAGTTGCTGTGTTTTATTCCTCTGTTCATATAGGATTTTAGAAAATCTCTTTGTAAGAAGAAGATTACATGGTAACATTTACAGTTACATCCTGCTTAGCATCTTTTCTGACTTTAAAAGTCTTCCTCTGAGGCTGGTTCTTTCCGAAGAGTTGGAGAAAGATGGGAAATTAAACTTTTATGTTACATAGTAAGATATAAAGAATAAAACTATAAATGGGTGAATTATAATAATCAAGTCTAAAAGATCAGTTAATTATTTGCTATCATATAAGAGACTATAAAGTTAGATTTTAGTCATTTCACTTATGAGCACTGGTGCTGAAATATAAAAAGGAGAAAGTGAGCAACAACACTTACATTCTTACACTATTTGCTTTATATGGACCATGAAATAATACTTATACAGTACTTGGAATATTGCCTTGTACATAGGAAGTGCTTACAAAAAGTTATTTATTCTTATTTAACCCTTATAACCACTCTGGCAAGTAAGTATTATTTTTGTTAACATCCCCTTCTTACATATATTAAAATTAACTGAGGCGTAAAGAAGTCACACAGCCTCTCAGTTATGTAACGGATGGGGCAGTAGGAGAACGGGGACTCACATCCCGGCTTGAGAGACCGTTGTCCTCGTGAGGAGCGCTGTGAGGAGACTCTGCGGGAGGCTCCCTGTCTCATTCCTGTGGCCAGTGGCAGGCAGAGGCAGGACTAACCCAGGGGAAGGACGGGTGTCGCCGCAGCTGTAATAGAGCCCGTGGAATCTCCCCGGACGCCTGGCAAGTCCAGAGTGTTCGTTTAAATTCATACATAGACACTGATACTCACACACCTGTATAGCAACAGAAATAGGTAATCACACGTTCTCTTCTCCCATTTTCTCTGTTGAAAGCGATACCTGCATGTATTCACTTGCCTGCCTTTTTCTCTACTAATGGTTCTAGTCCTGTCACACCTGGGAGCTTTATGAAGGATAACCTTAAATGTTCTTTTATGATACTCCTGAAGTTAATTGCCTGTGTTGTGTGTGCTCAGTCGTGTCCAGCTCTTCGCATCCCCGTGGACTGTAGCCCACCAGGCTCCTCTGCGTTTGGAATTTTCCAGGCAGGAATACTGGAGTGGGCTGCCATTTCCTACCTCAGGGGATCTTCCTGACCCAGGGATCGAACCCGCGTCTCTTGTGTCTGCTTCACTGGCAGGCAGATTCCTTACCCCTGGCGCCACCTGGGGAGCCTGAAGTTAATTCCCCACCTGTATGTAATGAGGACTGAACTTAATGCAGAGCAGGCTCGCTCCATTTCTTGCACATTGACCTTGTTCCTTCCACACCAGCCGGGGACTGAGGGTTATGCACCAAGGGAAGTAAAGATGGGAAATGAAGACTCATTCAAAACTAAGCAGATTAACGGATTCTACAGGAATAGATGCCACTTGGTAATAAACTGGAACAGGAAGATAGGTTTGGTGTGTAGTCTCAAACCATCTAGCTCGCTCTTATAACCTGACAGCTCTGTATGTGGTGCAGCTCTCTGCTTAGGTCCTCAACGTCTGAGGTGTACCATTTTGTTTAAGTTCTCAACCTTTCTGAGCCCACACAGATCAGGAACTTATCAGGAGACTTGTGTTCCCTTGTCCATCTATCTTACGCTTTCTAATGAACTGTTGCAGCTTTCAGACTTGGTCTGTACACTGGCTTTCTCTTGTGGCTTCTGTAGAAAGGTATGCAGAACTTAAACGTTAACCCTAACCCAGTTAATTTGTTCCCCCAATGTTTTCACCAAGTTGAGAAGTCTTCATTCTGTTAGGAAAAAAAAAAAATCATATGATCCTTGTATTTCCGTGTCTTTCTTTCTTTCGTTTCATGTAATGCTTTTTGGTTATTGCTACTTTGCATGATAATTCCTCCTGGTTTTACTCACCTTCCTCAATTTATTGCATTCTTTAAAACGGTCTGACTTGAAGCTCTAAAGGAGTCTCTACTTATTCTCTCCTTTCTAGGAAAATGTCTCAGGAGCCGTATCACAGCTGTCCCTTGGGGAGATCCCAGCTCCGGCACAGCCTTTTGTATCCTCAGAAGAACGGAAGGAGCGGTGGGAACAGGGCCAGGCCGACTACATGGGAGCAGATTCCTTTGACAACATCAAGAGGAAACTTGACACTTACCTCCAGTAGAAACACTGCGGTTTTCAGTGGACACAATCCACTGCACAGGCACTTGTTTCTGATACTTAGTACCTAGAGCTGGGTTAAGAAAGGTCTGTTACAGTTGCTAGAGGCTTTCACTAAAATTCATCAGATGTGGGGGTTTTTGCAAGACAACTGGTGAGAACTGGGCAAAAGCTGTTTAAGTAGCAATTCTGTTACATGAACAAGAGTTCTGCTTTTTAACCCTGAGCTTGTATTTCCGAAATTCTCAATTAAGCTGATTGCCAATGTATATGGTAAGGGAAACTCAATCTTAAGTTGTTAAGATACCTGTATCAACTCTTAAAATGTGCCAAGCCAGGCTGCACATCAGTCTCCTTTCAGAATGGGACACGCACGGTACATGTCTCTTGCTTGCTTGCTGTACCCCTCACTAGACCTGCATTTTAGAGTCGCCCAGAGGCTGCCAGAGTGATTGTAATTCTGCTTTCAGATAAAGACAGCCTGTAGCACTGCTGAGTGATTCATAAGCATATCAACAAACGGTGTTCGCCCATTTCCTAGCCTTACCGTCTGAAGATGTTCACGTTTTCTGTGTGCAGTGAGGCGGCATGCTAGAATGCTCTGTTCCGTTCTGTGTATCTGAAAACAGCAGTGTGATGGCTCCCTGCAGTGGCACCCTGTATGAAAAATAAAGACTTATTGCCATATCTTGGTTGTTTCATTAAATTAAGGATGCCCACTCCTCATGGGGAAAAAAATTTTCACGGAATTTTTCATAATTTGTAGAATTTGTATTTTAAAAACCAGTGTAAGACTTGACACTGAAATATATGCTTTAGAAGTTGTTTTCTAGATACCTAGGGAAATCTACATCTAGTGGTTCTCCAGTGATGGTGATGTATCTAATATGATAGATGGAGGAAAGGAAGATCAAGTTTATCTCATCTGTCACTCACATTTCATCTCTATATTAAGTGGGTACTCAAATTTTAGAATATTGTAACCTTAATGAACCTATTAGTTCATTAGGTTATTAGGACTATTAGTATCAGACCCAGTGTCTTCTAGCATTTTTATCTGTGGCTTAAAATGATAGAAGTATCATTATAAAACATACTTAATAAATGTGCAGGTGACTCCGTTGCACAGATGCCAAGATAGTGGAGGGCATGATTTAAATGACCTTTTAAATCTGAAGTGAGTAATCACAAATTATTCTGCTGAAGAAGACAAGAGAGGAGACCATGACAAGAAGAAACTTCAGAGGTTTAATTGGCCAGAAGCTGCAGTGGCTTTTAACCTTCAAGATCAAGAATAAAGATTCCTTTATTTCCATAGTAAGGGTGTGAATGAATGTTGTAATATGGAAACTTCGTGGCAAGAATGGATTGGGGGGACCACCTTGGAGGTTGGTTGCCAGAAGAGCTTAAGAAGAGCTTGAGCATTTACCTCAAAGTATAAACTATTAAATAACAACTGATTTCTGAAGGTAAAGTAAGCTAGTTATTTGGACTGGTGGAAAGTGAGTTGCTGTGATCTTCAAATACATGAAGCACTACCAAAGATTTAAGTGCCTCCACATGTCAGGAGCAGCCATACAAAGACCCCTCAAGATCCTTCTAGTCCAAGAATCTCTGCATTGAGGGATATCCATTGCATAGAAAATTCTGGCAAAACAAATTCATTACAGTGCAATTTACAAGTCATACAAACAAGTATTTCTGGACTATTTGTATCTAATATTAAAAAATTTTAATTGAAGGATAATTGCTTTACAATCTTGTGTTGGTTTCTGCCATACATCGACATGAATCAGCCATAGGTACACACGTCCCTTCCCTCTTGAATGTCCCTCCCACAGCCCAGCACAGCCCACCCCTCTGGGTTGTTACCGAGCCCTTTAGTTCCCTGAGTCACGCAGCAGGTTCCCACTGGCTCTGTTTTACACACGCTAGTGTGGACGTTTCCATGCTACTCTCTCCACTCATCCCACCCTCTGCTCTCCTGCCCCTGCCGCCCCACGTCCGTAAGCCTCTTCTCTGCGTCTGCGTCTCCACTGCCGTCCTCTTATCGGTTCATCGGAACCGTCTTTTTAGATCCCATATGTACATGTTAATAGACGACACTCTATAATAGACTCTAGGTTCATCCACCTCATTAGAATTGAGTCACATGTGTTCCTTTTTATGGCTAATAGGCCATGTGGGCTTCCCTGGTGGCTCAGAGATTAAAGTGTCTGCTGGCAATGCGGGAGACCGGGGTTCGATCCCTGGGTCGGGAAGATCCCCTGGAGAAGGAAGCGGTAACCCACTCCAGTATTCTTGCCTGGAGAATCCCATGGACGGAGAAGACTGGTAGGCTACAGTTCACGGGGTCGCAAAGAGTCAGACACAACTGAGCGACTTCAATATTCCAGGTGCCACTGCTGCTTTATTGGTTAATCTGCTGATGGGCATCCAGGTTGCTTCCGTGTCCTAGCTATGTGAATAGTGCTGCAGTGGACATTGGAGCACATGTGTCTTCGGTTATGGTTTCCTCGGGGTAATGCCTGGTAGTGGGATTGCTGGGTCACATGGTAAAGTTTTATTTTATTTTTTTAAGGAATCTGTGCCTAATTTTAAAGTTGGTCTCAGCCTTCTGTTGCTTTCACAGTCTCAATGGTTATAAAAATGTCTGATTTCAAGGAAATACTTGAGCTTATTCCAGAAATTACATCTACCAAAGCATGTATTCAGTCACCTTATTTTCACATCAAACACAATTTGGGTTGCATATACATTTATACAACACCACTCTGAAAAACTCATTCAGTAAGCACTTACTAAGTACTGACCATATCACACATGTGATGGACAGTAGACACACAGGAATGTATAAGACAGACATATTTCCTTGTATTCTAGTAGCAAACAGGCTGAAAGAAACTAACACATACAATTGCAAATTATGTTCAATAAAATACACTGACCAACACACTTGCTCCTGGGCAAGTCCAGCCTTAGGATCTTCAGGAAAAACCTCCTCCAAGAGGGCGATTGAGCCAGAAAGAGAGGCGCTGCAGAAGCCAGGGGGACTGCGAAGGAAGACTGTTCCATTCCGAGGAAATCGTGGCAACAGGAGAACTGGGGGGAAATCAAGGCTTTCAAGAGGATGGAGAGGAACGTATTGGCTTCATAGATGAACGTTTGGGCTTTGGATTTTAAATTCAATAATGACTGGTTTTATTAATGTAATTTATATGTAATGTTTTATTAATGGGAACTTACGTACCAAGGTAAGCAGAACAGTATAAAGAACTCCCATCACCTACTTTCAGCAGTTGTTTCTTCTATGTCCCTACATCCCCATGAACTCCCCCCCCACCAAACTATTTGGAAGCAAATCCTAGATAAAAAAATTCATATGAAATAGACCTGCTATCTTTAAAACATAGGGACTTTATAAAATGCTCACACCAAGAAACTTAATTCCAAATGTCCTCCATTATTTTGTGTTTTACATCCACTTGATCTTATCAGGATCCAAGTGATAGTTTAAGGTAAAGGATGTCAGATTTGTGATCTCCAAAGATTTAGCTTCTGGACCAGAGTCTCCAGCCTGGCTGCTCCTGAAAAGCACTGGAGTTGTAAGTACAGTCTCTTGGGCTTATCACTGTAGATTATGATTCAGTAGAACTTGGTTGAGTTTGAGGCCATAGTATCTCTATTCCAAGTACTATCAAGCAGTGACTGTGACCCAAGGGACATTTGAGAACCATCTGATACATTAAGAAGGTACACTAAATACAACAGGGAATCAGAGTTTTCAGAAGATGCATGGTGCAGTGTTGTTACATAGCAGGGGATTCAACTTCTATTTAGTAAAGGCTTTCCAGAAGACAAACTCAGCCCCTTGAGTGAAATAGGCATTATTATCATAAATAACATCTATAAATTAATTGTAAAATGTTTACCTCTTTAATGTCACTGAAATGTAGGGAATTAAGCTAAGGAAGATTTGGTTTCCCCTTAAATAAAAGTCTGCCACAGTCTGCTTTTTATCTATTACAAATGGATTATTAACTATTTTTACACTTGGGTATGTTATGTGATGGGCTTCCCTGCTGGCTCAGTCTTTGATAATTTATTTCTCTGAGTTTCTGATGCTGAAATTTAATCTTCTTTAAGTGAAGACAATCTGTAAGAAAGCAATGAGGAAAGACAATATTTACTAGGTACTTATAGCTCAATTCTCATATGAGCCCTATAATGTATATATAGATTTCTCATTTCTCTGGTAATCAGAGGATAAGAAAGGTTAAAGACTTTGATTCAGATCTGTGTTTGTTCTAAATCTAAAGCTATGCTCTGCATTAAACAAATGAATTATCAACACAGACAATGAGATCCGGGAAATGGGCCAAGAGATCAACAGTAGTCTCCATATATACCCAGAAATATAAATGCCAGAAACAAATAATGGAAAAGCTTTCATTTTGCTTGCTATGAAGGTAAGGACAATGGCCTTGAAATAGGACTTGGAAAATACTTTTTACAAAAAGACATTCCTAAGTAGGCTGCCTGAAATTGTAATATAAAAATGAACGGGTAGGAAAATTCAAGGATAGTGTTAAGTCAAGAATTTTGTCTTGGACACAGTTCAGCTTCACAATGTATAGAGTTTGTATCTTAAAAGCCTATACAGAATTATCCTGTTTTCACAGTTGTTTTATTAGCCCAGAAGAGGGAAATCTTCTATGATATGACTATATGATACTGTGGTGTATTCAGGGTCAACATCCGTTTAGAGATAAGGGCTCTTTACACCTATACTAAGCCACTCAACTCTCGTGATTTACTTATTCTGTGTTCCCTTTTAAGTTTCCTTCTATAATGTCCAGTCTACCAGCTACCACTTCTCACTACTGTTTTCCTAGAACAAAAATAGGAAGAGTTAAATGTTCAATAACAGGGCCTTTGAACACTAGGTCCTTTTCTATTAAGTATATGGATTTATTGAACTTTTGTTATTTTAGGTGGTTAGAACCTTTTTTGGTTTCTGTGCTCCTAGTTGGGATGAACAGAAACCTAGTCTTATTAACTAATAGTGCCTTATTGTTGTGACCATGTAACATGCAATCCAAATAATTTGGAGCTCTCCACCTGGATCACAAGACTCAAATCCTTTTTTTTAATACACTTGAGGATATCAAAGCATCTAACTAGGGAGTGAGAATTAAACATATCATCTGGTATACACTCTTTGTGTTTACTTATTCCCTTTGGTTCCCTATTTTTCACACTGCCTAAGAGGAAAGCTCTGAACCTAAAAGGCTCACGTAATTTACTTTTGGTTGCACAGGGTCTTTGTTGCTGCACATGGGAGTTCTCTAGTTGCAGAGTGGGGCTCTCTCTAGTTGTGGTGCGCAGGCTTCTCATTGCAGTGGTTAAAACCCTATGATGTACTATTAGGGAATAGTCCTTCCCTATCCTAACATAAGGAGTAAATTACTTTAAACATTTAGGAAACTGTATCCTAGTTAATTTTATCTGCCTTTCTAAGACACTATTGACAGAATGCTGAAAAGATGGCAAACTTACTGACAACATTTCAAAACATTAGTCCTATCTCTGCTTTAGCAAATGGCCCACATGTTATAACAATACATAATCTCTCTGATGACTTTTAATTTCACATCTATCACATTAAATACCCTCTGGGAATATTAGACTGGGTTTCAACTGTGCAAAGACATGCCCTAGAATTTATTTACCAATTTAAGAAATCATTTTGACATTTGCTCTTCTTCTAAGTGAAGTCCCAGTGTATCCTAGTTATTATATCTTGGTTCAGATTAATGGAGGTGTCCTGTTCCATGTACATTTGAATCATACACATTATTAAACTTGTATTTTCATGTAAAAATTAACTTTTATAATTAAAGGTAGAAGCAGGTTTAAATCTGTCAGAAAATTCTTGATCAACATGGTAGATCAGAGACCTGGAAAAGAGATTTTTTTAAAATCCCATCTTAACCTTTGGAAGATCTGATTGGAAATAAGAAATCATCTGCCCTTTCAAAAGCAGCATATTATTATGGCTTCAGCGAAGACTGTTCTCCCTATTACCACACAGTAAGTATAAATATATTAACATGGAAGAAAACATTATGACTGCTAACAGGGTTTCTAATCAACGGAGTTTCTCCCTTTGAAGTAGACATTACTGCAGGGAAGCCTCCCAACCATTATTCACAGCTATCAGTATCTTGGGATCTTTTTATTGAGAAGTACCATAAAAATGAGGTACTGAATTCCAGAATGTAGAACTTGTAAGGAAGGTTACACATACTTATTGGTGAATTAAATGAAGGAAAGCTGTTGTATTTCACCTTTCGCAAATATTTTCCAGTTTAATATAGTTAAAAACTTAAGGTTAAGCATTTCAATTCTTATTAATAAGCCAAACATATCACTGTCCTCATATTTTTGATGAATCTTCTTTCCAAATACTAATGAACAGACCTTTGTTAAGCACTATAAATAAAAGGAATAAAAAACACACCAGTGAGTGGGAATGCAAACTACTACAGCCACTATAGAGAACAGTGTGGAGATTCCTTAAAAAACTGGAAATAGACCTGCCATATAACCCAGCAATCCCACTGCTGGGCATACACACCAAGGAAACCAGAATTGAAAGAGACACGTGTACCCCAATGTTCACTGCAGCACTGTTCACAACAGCCAGGACACGGAAGCAACCTAGATGTCCATTGGCAGACGAACGGATAAGAAAGCTGTGGTAAACATATACACAATGGAATATTACTCAGCCATTAAAAAGAATGCATTTGAATCAGTTCTAATGAGGTGGATGAAACTGGAGCCTATTATACAGAGTGAAGTAAGTCAAAGAAAAACACCAATGCAGTATAATAACGCATATATATGGAATTTAGAAAGATGGTAACGATGACCCTATATGGGAGACAGCAAGAGAGAAACAGATGTAAAGAACAGACTTTTGGACTCTGTGGGAGAAAGCAAGAGGGTGGGATGATTTAAAAGAATAGCACTGAAACCTGTATATTACCATATGTGAAATAGATCGCCAGTCCAGGTTTGATGCATGAGACAGGTGCTCAGGGCCAGTGCACTGGGATGACCCAGAGGGATGGGATGGGGAGGGAGGTGGAAGGGGGATTCAGGATGGGGGACACGTGTACACCCATGGTGGATTCATGTCAATGTGTGGTGAAAACCACTACAAGATTGTAATTAGCCTCCAATTAAAATTAATTAAAAAAAAAAACACCAGTGAATGCCTTTGATATCCCCCAAAAGAAAATATGCAGTACCTGAGTATAATTTTATTGGTACTTACTGGTTTTAAAGATAAGATGATTATTTTCTTGATTTTCCCAATCCTGGAGCTGTAATAAGGGCAAAGTCTATAATCCATAGTGGTATCTAGTATACCACTATACATAGCTGTTATCACAGCTCCTTTTTTTCCGCCTGATGGGAAAATAAAAATAATTGAAACCAATGTTTAAGATAAAGATACTTAAAATTTTAGAATATATACACTGGGTTCTAAACAAGAAAGTCAGTTAAACTGAAATTTAGTAAAATTTAAAAAGGGTAGGAATATGAGTCAATTTTTCTCAGTTACTTGTAGTACTTTTTATATACTGTCAGTAAAAAATAATTATATAAAATAGACATCTTAACAGAAATAACAGATTTATAAAGATTAAATATTCTTTAAAGAACAAGTACTCATTAAAATATGGCACTGAGAAAGTAATAATTTTTTAAACTTTTATTAATTTTAAATTTAAAACAAAATCCAGTTTGAACCACAAGTGGAAACACAGTATTTTCAAGATATTTCTAAAGCTATTACTCTACATAATAATGAAACAGAGTTAACAGCATAAACATAATGTGAACTTTTCATTCCAGTAGTTTATATATTTTCATAGGATGAATTTGTTTTTTATTTAACACCACTTAATGGAACTGTACAAAACCAAAAAGGTATTTTTTAAATGACCTGCCACATTTATCATTATGAATGTGTTTAAAAACACAAGTCTGTAAATGTTTGGGTAAAGAAGCAAGCAGTCTTCACTTTACAATAAGTTTGTAAGGTTTTGCCTTTGTAAGCAAGGACAGTAGAGTGCGTTTTTTGCTGGGAACTCTTTTTATACTTAATCTCACAAGAGTATTGGTATATTGAGAACCCATATATCAGGTTTTATGAGATCCTGATCAACTTGATTTTTTGTGCTAGTCCTACAAAGTAAAGAATTTCTCTATCGCTCCTTATGCTAGTGGATCAACCTCAAGTTATAATTCCATTCTCATCGTAGCAGCAAGGTCTATTGGTCCTTTTCATCACCTGCTGCTGAAGAGAAAAAGGCCTGGGAAGGTTCTTGCTGTCTAATCCACTGTTCCCGTGGAGCAAAGGATAGGGCTCAGAGAAGGGGAGGATTTAGCTGGTGATAAAGTATGTGTTAAATCTAAGATGTGTGCCCTAGAATACAACCCTGCCTCCAATCTCTTCAGTCAAGTCACTTCCAACACTCTAAGTAAAATGTAAGGTGTTCTTAAATTTGTGTCATCAAACATGAAGCTTCTCCTGTTATAGTGATCAATTTCTTCCTTCTTTGGATTAAAAATAAAGTTTCCCTTAAGGAAAAAACACCACTTACTACCTAACCTGATTGATAAAATTATACTTTGTTTTAAATGTGACTAAAAGAGTCATCAAGAATTCTGTGGCAGCTACTGTTTGATTGTTAACAAAAAAGTAGGAAAATGATGACTGATTCTATATGTAGGTGTAAGGATGAATTACTCAAGTTCCAAAATCAAATTCTGGTTCTAAACATAATATAAAAGAAAATTCTCCATTTAGGGATTAAGATGTCTTTAACAGTTGAAACAATTTTGGAGGGCATCCAGCCCAACTTCCATCCAGATATCATGCCTCTCACATATAGTAGTCTTCTGAATTATAAAAATTTATAAAGTTTTTTTTTTAAAGCACATAAATAATATTATCTATATATAGAAATATCTATTCAGCAATTCCATAATTTAAATAGTCAAATCAAATTGGGCAGAACTGGTTCTTTCTCATCCCCACAGACTGTATTTACACACTAACACATCAAGTTACATTTAAATTAAAAGAATAGTACCACCTGACTAAATGGAGAAAATAGTGCTCTAACACAAACCCCAATTTTTTTTTCATGAACATAAAATTGTAAGTCACTTATTTGAATTTTATCTCAATGATACTGTGAAAAAAACTAAACAAAGAAACCAAAACACACACACACACAGATGAACAAAACCAAACAAAAACCAAGTAACTTTCTAACCTGGACTTTGGTCTCTCATTTAATGTTCTGGAATGCATACATGGTTTTCAAAGGTCCAATAAAATCAATCTCTTGTATAGTCTGTGTACATATTAATCGTTTAAAGGATTGTGAATCCACAGCATCACAAATGGGAGGCTTTGGTGACTAACCAAATGTGTCAACATAGAAAATAACTCTTTATTTGGTCAAAAGTATAAAAGGTTTAACCTTTTTGGAAATATGAAAAAGCTGAGTACTTGGGAGATATATGAAAATACTCAGCATAGATAGTATGAAAAGTTGAATAAAAGTAAATTTTCTCCCCAAAAAAATTATTTTAGGCCACAGCATATAACAGAACTTATTGCTATCTGAAATATCATTAAAAATAGGTTCATATATAGAAGGCGATTAGTAATACCTCTTCACTAATATAAAATATGTCCCTTTTAGAAGACATACTCTAGATATCATTTCTAGAACTGCATTTGTCTCATTTCTAAAACTTGTGTATGTATCTGATTAAACTGACCTTACCAAATTCCACCAATTTATAAATCAATTAAAGTTCTAATTTCATTGATTTTAGCTTGTTTCATTTCACTAGCATTTGTTTTCTTAGTTCCAAAGGCTCCAGCTGCAAGTTCTCTCTTTGTGTTCTGTATTTTCAGCATGTTTTCTTCAACAGAATCCTTCACAATGAACTGTAAAAAGAAAAACAAAGTTAAATTGGTTAGGTAGTTTTTAGGTCACAATACTTAAATTCTTTAATTAAAAAAATGAGACCTAATAAAAATAATGCTCTACTCTAAAGGAATGTGCTTTCTTATAGAATTATGTAGCTGTCAAAAATGATCAATAATAATCTATTAGAAACTGTTTCACTCTCCCTTTTTTTTCAATATACAGTGGAAATATTAGAATATGATATGATAGCTAGAAATGAGTGTCATTTTTCCTTACTACTCAGTATATTTCTCCTGTATAAAGAATATAGCTGTAAGGACACGTTATAACTCTATCAGATAAGAGCAACATATAAAAAAAGCAAACTTTATGGACAACGCTGTAGCTGGAATATTAGCAAAATAAATTCAGCATATTTAAAAAGCCAAATAAGATTTTCCCAGAAAGAATATGCCTTCATCTGGTATAATTCAGAAAATTAAAAGAGAAAAAATGTGATCATCTCAATAAATGCCAAAGAAGAATTTGATAAAGTTAAACATTTATTCCTGATTAAAAACTGATTTATGGCTAATTCATTTCAATGTATGACAAAAACCACTGCAATGATGTAAAGTAATTAGCCTCCAACTAATAAAAATAAATGGAAAAAAAAAAAAAAGAATCCTCCTTAACCTAGAAATAAATGTCCTCAATCTTATTAAGGACATCTACTAGAAACTTACCAAGAACACCATACTTAATGTAAAACAATAAAAGTATTTCCAACAAAGATGGAACAAGTCAAGAATAGTTACTATCATTACTACTATTTAACACTGTACAAGAGGTCCCAGTTACTGTAATAACAAATTGTGTTATAAAATGTTACTGAAATACATAAAAGACCTAAATAAATGGAGAGTGATACTAAGTTCTTATATGGGAACACTCCTTATTTATAAAGAATACAGTTTTCAAATTAATCATAAATTCAGTAAATCCCAAACAAGATTTCTTACATGGGATTTGGTAATCCAAATCCAAAGTTCAATTCAATTCATGACTAAATAATAAAAACCAACACAATTTTCAAAGAGAAAGGTAATGAGAGCACTATGCTCTATTAGATACCAAGGCATACTGTATAAAACCATAGAAATTATTAAAGTAATATTGTCCTGGGAACAGGAAAAGAGATCACTGAAACAGAACAGAGTCCAGAAAGAGACTTAGAGTACAGAATTAGCTTATGAAGAGGTGACATTTCAACTGGTAGGAAAAAAAAAGATGGACTTAAAAATGGTAATGTAACAAGTGATTCTTCATTTGAAAACAAGTTAGATACACAGAATGAATCATCAACAAAAAGTAAAATATTTCAAAAGAATCAGAACTACAGGAGATCCCAGCATCAGGGTCTTTTAAAAAAAAAGAAAAAAAAAAGAACTACAGGAGATTTTGGGGGTAACATTTTCCAGATTTTGAATATGACAATTTTTATTGATATTTCTATAAAACACTACTTCCAGTGGTGGATCAGTCCGTAAAGAATCCACCTGCAATGCAGGAGACCTGGGCTCAATCCCTGGGTTGGCGAGATCCCCTGGAGGAGGCCATGGCAACCCACTCCAGCATTCTGGCCTGGAAGAGCCCCATGGACAGAGGCGGCTGGCGGACCTCAGCCCATGGGTCTGCAAAGAGTCAGACAGAACTGCGTGACCGAGTACAGCACCCCTCCAGTTTACGTAACTTACAGAAGAGTCATGTTCACATTTGAAGATAAAAGTCTTCTGTTCTAAGCAAGACTCAAAAATCCAGGAGATACAGGGGAAATGGCTGACGTATTTTAAATCATAAAAATTTCTAAACTTTCATGACAAAAAAACACAAAGTTCAAAGATAAACAAAGAGCCTGGGATAAAAAATTTCCAATACACATAACAAAACATTTAAAATCAGAATTTATACTACAAAACTATATTTGTTCTTTATGAAAACCTGGCAAAAGATATAAGCAAGCAATTCACATAAAAAAAAATTAACAAGACCAGAATAAAGATGACCCTCATTAGTTTGCTCTGCATAATTCTATTTCAATCTTTTATAACAATAAATTCACGCACTATTTATATAGTTTTTAAAATCTTACAACCTAATTTTAAAGTAGGTATCTTAAAAACTCACTTTTGTGATAATAACTTCTTGCTTCTGACCAAGTCTATGGCATCTGTCAAAGCACTGATCTTCAGCAGCTGGATTCCAGGCCTAGTAAGAACATGAACTGCGTCATTACCACCCTTATCTGTATGTGTTCCATACAAGTCCTTTTGTTGCAGTATTATTCATTCACCTTTTACTGACTGAAATCTTTCTGAATGAATTCAGATAATGACATATTAATAAGTGTTCTGGGGACAGAACAATCCACACAACCCCCTGACCGCCTTCCCCAACCACTACTGTGATAAGCAGGTGTCCTCTCCCCTGTCATTTCACTCCCCTGCCTCCAGTATCTAATTGAGGGTCTGAAAAATAGAAATCACACAGTATAAATGATTGCTCAACAGTCAAATAATATCTTTCCAGTATCTTCTCAATCCACTTTCAAGTCAAACTATATTTGCTTAACAGAGGAAGTTTATACACCCTCTGAAATAATTTACATCAGAAAAGATAGGTGAGTCCATTTAATGAAAAAGTTTTCTCCCTTTTTGCTGGTCTTTGGTTCTTTTTCTTTCATTTTCCTCCATTCATTATGTAAAAGTACAAAAAAAGATTTCAATAGTCAATAGTCCTAAAAATTATTTAAGACTCTGCAATATACTTGAAATCAGTCTGACTTCAAAACTGATCTAACAAAGTAACATTAGCTAACCAACATAAGCATTATCATAGGGGCTCTCTCATGGTAAAGAATAAAACAATGAAGCACTGAAATGGGAAGAATAAGCAAGAAGGATATACAGCTTTTCAGTCTAGAAGACAAGAGTCAAGTGGTTTTGAAGTAATATCATGACTTGTCAGGGTAGGGGTCATTAAATTTTAAACTAAACTATGGAATGATTCTTAAAGCTGAAAATAGGGTGTTTTGGAGAAAAGGAAAATTTATACAACAAAATACCAATGGAAAATAGAAACAAAATCATAAATGAATAAGTAGATGACAAGTTCACAGTACAATTTATACTTAGGAAGTTATTTTCTTCTTTTTAAAGTTCCCTTGAGATCTAGAGAAAAGGAGATTTTTTAACTATTAACTTGCTATAATTTCATTTTGGGATTGTTTTTCGGTATAGAAGTTAGATTTAAAGGACTTACATAGCTTATGATTTTCTGAAACTGACAGTCACGTTCTGTGAATATTTTGTAGTTTGCAACTGGACACACTTTGAAACCATTATACTAAGAGCTCAGATAAAATGTTCCTTTCTGCTATCTCTATTTTGTCTAGGAACCTCATGGTGAGATGGCAGTATATATCAAGTATGACTAAGATGTATAATAAAATTTATTTCATGGTAATAGAAAACTGATAGCTCTCATTCTCATAGGCAGTGATGAAAGAAGCAATTAACTTTATCAAAAGCTCATAATGAAATATCAAAATTTATCTTATCTTTTATATAATACTCCATAAAGAGGTAAAAGATTTTCATGAGCAATTGTTTTGTTTTTTTTTTTTTGGTGCAATCTTATTTTGGGGGGATCTGGCTTTTATTTTTTTGTTTTTTTTGGCTTTTGTTTTAAAGTTAGAAACAATATCTGAAAACTTAAAATGTTCAATGAAAAACAATCAACTTACTATGAAACTACTAAACATTCTATAAGTTTTCTAAAAGTATAACAGTTCAAAGAGTTTAGTGTCTGGTCAACTTTATAATACTAATTAAATTACTGTATTTGGTATTAACAACCTCTTTCTTATCAAGTACTAAGATTATAACCAAAGAAAAAATAATTTGGGAATCTGTTTCAAAAATCAGTTTCTAGAATTATTATCTGTAGTTACCATGCATAGTTTTTATAATAACCATAATACCAGAACTCCAGCAGAGATTTAAAACTTCATCCACAGAACTAAGGCAAGAAAACACAGTAGACACTGCCATCCCCATAGCATTAACATGAAACCCATGAATGCTTGAGTATGACTTACGGCTGTGATATTACTGGAAAGGTTACCCTTGGGTGAGGAAAAAAGAAACCTTGGTAACAGGTATATGCTTCACCTAAACTGTCTTATCCAAAATAATTCAAAATTTGTAACTTAGTAAAATTTCTTTATGTTATGAATTTTCTGAGTTTCAGGCAGCAAGTTAAAACCACAAACCTTAATTAAGTCTGTGGTTGCACAGAAATAGAACAGGGTTTCCTCTAGCCAAAATAGAGCACAATACAAATTAGATTAGTTCAGAGGGTTTCCAGTCCAAAAAAGCCCTTTGTACAATCAAGAAAAAGTGCTCCTATGGGGATGCGACTCTAAGTCACACGGTTTGATGCGTCAAGTTCAGGGTGAATTTCAGCTACCACTCTATCCCTAAGCCTGTTTCACACACAACGACTGCACTTTACCAGACATTAAAATTTATCCAAAACATTCCACTAATGTTATTTGCTTCTAAACTGTGACGCTAGATGACCTGCACCTATATAAAAATGCAGTTTCCCGGGTCTCATCTAGGAACTCCTAAATCTGAGGACAGAGGTCAAGTTGTATTTCTTAATTCGTATGCATAGTAAAGCTTCAGACTGTTATTACCATGATGGTGGCGACTTTGTCTATTCTGTTTATAGCCAGAGTCCACACCTGCAACGTTCCCTGATACAAAACAGGACCTCACTATTCATGGGCCAAGGCAATGAGAACACTTCCCTAAAGCACCAGAAATAAGAGAAACGCATTCTGCACGTAGAAGAGCGGCAGAAAAGCACAGCACGACACTTCTGAGCACGGACGCAGATCCTGACTTGTGTATCACTAGCTGTGTGATAAGCCAAGCTATTTCACACCTCCGTCTCTGTTTCCTCTCCTGTAAAACAGGGGTAAGTAACAAGATCTACGCACAGAGATGTAACGAGAATTTCAGGTGATATATGTAAAGCACCTAAAGAGAAAGCCCTCAAAACACATTTCCTAAGTTGTTATCTACGTCTAAAGTTTGCCTAAGCATTTTCACAACCAGTTACAACAATAAAAATATTTTTAAAAAATAAACAAAAAACTATTTGGTAAAGAAGTAATAACAGATCAAAAATTCTATAAAACTACTTACTGGATCCATTAAAAAAACTCGAGAAGCTGCAGAAAGATTCAAGCCAACTCCACCTGCTTTTAAGGATAGAAGCATTATAGTTGGAGATCCTGCTTCAGTGTTTTGAAAACACTGAATTGATTCAACTCTTTTTTTTTGGGCCATGGAACCATCCAAACGAGTAAATACAAATCCAGAGGCTCTAATGGAGGGGACAAAAGAGACAAGTAAGTTACTACACTATAAAAACATGTTAAGTAATTGTGATCTTTTCATTAAACTAATGCTTTCATTCATTTCTTCTGACAAATATGTACTAATCATCTACTAATATGTCAGGCTGTCTACAGTCAATATTTTTTTCCTATAAATTCAGGACTTAAACTTTAAAATTCTAAGTTCTCAGGAATATTCTCTATTGTTACTGTTATTTTAGATAGATGAAATGAATAAAACTGCTAAAACATAAATAATGGTTTTTTTGCTATTCAAATTAAAACATTTATATAAAATCCTTTTGCTCAAAGTGAAAAACACTGTTGAACTTACCTAAGGGGTGTTTCTATTAAAGACAGAAATGTTGTAAACTGAGAAACAACTAAACTTTTTATGTTGGGGTTCTTCTTTCTTAAATCAATCAATGCATGCATTAGAGCATTAATCTGAAAAAAATTAGGGACACCCATTAGGTTCAATTTTGAATGGGAAGAGAAAGGTTCTGACATATTACCTCCTCAAAATGGAAATGTAAAAGACCACTAATTTTTTTTTAAAAATTGAGACTATCATATTTTTCATAATCTGAACCCTTTCTCTCTCCCCTTAAATTCAGTGCTAGATATAAACAAAAAGCCAGTAACCAACAAAGTATAATACTCAAGTGACAAGATTAAAAGCAGAATTATTATTTTAAAATATGATTATTTCTTTGTATAAACATAAAACAAATATTCAAATATTTGCACATGTATATTTACCTTTGAACTGGATGTCCATTCGATATTAGACTTTTTCTCAGTGTCACATGCCAATTCTTCTGGAGGACACTCTATTAAACTGTCTCCATGTATATCATTTCTGCATAGAGGGCATTTAGCATGCGGCTATACAAGAAGGAACAAAATACGAGTGGCACTTAACAAAGAAGCAGAAATATAAATTTGCCTAAAAAGTTTAAAAGGCAAGGTAAATTCCATATCCCTAACAGTCAGCATTTTATTAAACCTTTTATTAGATTCATCCATTGAGATAAATCTGTATATGCTCAACTCCAGGCAGATGTAATGTTCTAACGTAGGAAGTGGGATTGGTAAGAGAGCAAAAGGAGGTAATCCTGACTAACAGCAAGGGCTTGAGACAATAAACATTATTTTCAGACAAATAAAGAAACTATGAATAACAGTTTCTTGAGCTAATTAAAATACAGCATACTAACTGAAACTATTCTTTAGAAGAAAAACAATTCCTTCTTAATAGCTTATAAAGTAGTTCAGATGTGTTAGGTCCTAGCAGGTTCATTCAAAGCAGTTGTCTGTTGTGTCAATTTTATACCAAGGCATACTAATAAGATTATCTCTAAAATAACTACATACCAAATACCATTGCAATAAAAAAGATTCTGAAACTATGTACTATCAAGACGTGCATTTTCCCCTATATGTATATTACCTCTCCATAAAAATGTTTTAAAAAATTATACCTTAAAAGGACTGCTTAAAGGATTATTCTACTTCACATAAATTTAGACCTACCTAGATATAATAGCCCAATAGCCATGGCAAGGCAACTAAGCTGTTGAAATATGGCAAAGACAAATTGAGATGTGCTTTAAGCGCACAATACCACTGAATTTTGAACTCCTAAGTTTTAAAAAAATCATATAAGGCATCTCATTAATTTTTATATTTTAGATATACTGGATAAATAAAAATGCATTATAAATATGGATGTTTTACTAGAAAATTTTAAATTAACTTTGTGTCTCACATTGTAAGTCTATTTCTTAGAAATGATCTGAAGAGTCAGTAGAATTAAAACACTGACTGTGAAATATATGTCCAAAGCTATGTCTTTTTATATGACAAGAGCTTAGTTACATGAAATATAAACACTGATAAAATTAACTATAAAAGGTGTGCTAGCAAACCCAAGTGAAAAACTCCTTGTAGCCTTTGTTGGGCTTGGGTTTTCATTACACTCAACCCTGGAACTACACTCCATCAAACACCACATCTGTACTGGGCATAAAACACACCTGTTCATTCTGAATGACCTGGCAGATACAAGGTTTACAGAAGACATGTGCACAATGTGTTATGACAGGAGCCACTAAAGAATCCAAGCAGATTGCACATTCTTCATCAGAACCCGAGCTCAGAACTAACTTCATCTTCTTTATTAACTTCTTCCGTAGTTCTTCAGGTGTATCATTCCCTAGAGAAAAGGCTGAATAATTAATTTCACAGGAAGACTTGTAATACGACTAGACAATCTTAATCTTCCTTATATAGGGAAAAGTTTTGCTTGGGTAGTTCTTAGTCTTTTATTTTTTTTTATCACAGGTAAAAAGCATGATTTAAATTTGAAATTTTAAGAAAAATTCAGAAGTTCCACATAACATACCTTACACAGAAACAATATTATAACACAATCTGCAGGTACTACCATAGAATAAAAGGCTGATGATCAATTTGATCCTTTCTTCTAAGACTATCATTGGAAATCCTGGAAAATCTCATTAATATTCCATTTCATTGTTAAAGAGATTTTTGAGTGTATTTCTGGTTGAGTCCTATACTAAAAATCAATGTCCATTTGACAAGCCAAATTTAGGCCACATGAACGATTTCTTATTTTGACTTAAATATCTCTAATAAATATAATGTGTAAACCAATCACATTTACCTACCTGAGGGACCACTGGAAGACACTGCATTTGCAAGAAGGTGTGTATGACAACAAATTTGCCGCAATCGAAGCAAAAGACCCAGGACATCTGCATAGTGTGCAAGGACAGTCCCTTCATTAAAATACCTAGAGGTAAAAATGTTGAATACTATGAAGGCCTCTAAAGAATAGTATTTCCTATTCTAAAACAGCACACGCACATACACACACACACACAAAATAGCATTGCTCTCTTCTTCCCTAGAAATCACTTCAAAACAAGAATGAAAAACAGAAAAGTAAACTCTTATCTTTAATGCAACCAGGAGAGATTTACACCAATAAAGCAAAGTATATGAGAAATGGCCGCAAACTACAGTTAATGTCAAACAGGAAGATAATGAGAGAGATGACTGCAGATCTCAAGCAGACCTGCCGGAGCACAGTTTTTCAAAACAGACAGCATGCCTAAGGAGAAAACCACCGTGTCTTACATGCAGAAATAAAAGCAGGGTGCATGGCTCATGGCTTGAACATCCCAGGACAAGTTTATACCAGGACAGAGGGAAGACAAACTGAATACGGAAACACACTGACCTACTGTGGGTTTTTTTCAGAAACTACTACAAGCACGGCATTCCATATCATAAGGAACCCTAAAGCTTCCAATCTCTGTTGAAAGAACTCACATGTAACACCCTGAGTCAAAATTAAACAGGATATATTTCCTACCAGTCAAGGATACAACTAAATTCCTATCCCTTTGTATGAATCTCTTGCAAATAGCTAGTCCAGAAAGAACTCAAGACATTCATATGAGAGTAATAATCAGCACTGATCAAGGGAGAAAACAAATAGCATCAAAAGGAAACTCACCAGAAAAAAGTTGCCAGAGAACAAATTAAAAATTATGACAAAGAATTCTGCCATGATACCACCACTCAGTAAAACAATTCCTCCTAAAAAAACACCAATAGCTTAAAGCAGACACAAGACTTTGAAAAGGTATGGCAAAACAAAACAGAGATCAAAAATGAGCTGGTATGGCTAAAGAGTGAGAAAGAAAAGTGAACCATCAGAGAAAGCCACAGGAAAGCCAGCATGAAAGAGACTGTGTGTGTGTGCGCTCAGGCGCTTCAGTCCTGTCTGACTCTTTGTGGCCTTATGGACAGTAGCCCACCAGGCTCCTCTGTCCAGGGGATTCTCCAGGCAAGAATGCTGGAGTGGGTTACCATGCCCTCCTCCAGGGATTCTTCCCCATACAGGGATCAAACCCCTATCTCCTGCATTGCAGGTGGATTCTTCACCACTGAGCCACCGGACTAGCCACTGATAAAAACACAGGAAAGAATGTGGGAAACAGGATTGAGAAAAGCAAAATTAAACGGAAAGATATAAAAGATCAGAGAAAAATGATACCTATGGAAAAACAAAGACTATCCAACATACACAGAGAAAAATACAATAACGGAGCAGAAAGCAATATTTAAGAAAACTTTCCCAAAGAGGGATACAGGGGAATCCTGGAGTCTACAGATTTAAATTGTACCACTTGTTCCAGGAAAAATTGAGAGAGAGAGGTCCTGGTGAAATTTTTGGCCTTAAAGAAAAGAATAAAAATAAAATCAAGGTTTTCAAGGGAAAGATTCAATATAAAATAAAGAAAAAAGACAGTAAAGGTTCTGAAGAAAGAATGAGTGATCCAAAAATTATATACCAGTACATACCAAGGCAATCTGATATTTAAGTATTAGGGCAATAGAAGAAATACAGCCTCATGGTTAAGAGGACAGAGTCCAGAGCGAAAGTGTCTGAATCCAAACCTGACTCTCAGTGTAACTGTGAACCCTCGGGCAGGTTCCTCACCCTGTGCCCTGAGCGTCCTCAGCCGTGACAGCGGTGTCACACACACCTAACAGGATTGCTGTATTAAAAGTCACCCCACGCAAACACTCACAACAGTGCTGAGCTACAGCGAGTGGTATCTATGTGCTGATATTATTAGTGAGGGTGGTATTATGGCGACAAACGCTTCTCAGTACTCAAGAATGCAGGCTTCCCAGGTGGCAAAGAAGTGCAGAGTCCACCCGCCGATGCAGGAGACGCAGGAAACCTGAGTTTGATCTTGGGGTCGGGAAGAACCCCTGAAGCAGGAAACGGTGACCCACTCCAGTATTCTGCCTGGCGGGCTCCAGTCCATGGGGTCACAGAGAGTCAAACGCGACCAAGCACGCACACCACCACAACACTCAAGAATGCAAGGACAGGCAAAATGAAGGTTAAACTTGTGAGTTCTAGAATCAAACTGCCTGAGTTTAAGCGCCAGCTCTGGCATGAGCTGCGTGACACAAGGTAAGCCAACTAACTGCCTCTATATCTCAGATTCTTTCTCAGTAAAATGCAGGTAATCTTTGTTCTGACTTAATAGAATTGCTGTGAATTAATACACATAAGGCACTTTCAGATGATTACATTAACACCTATAACTGCTCAATGTCTGTAAATGTATTACCTATTAAGATATTTTTAAAATACTTATTTCTCTAAGAACAGTTTCAATAAAGTTATTTTTTTTTCAACCTTTAAAAGAGAATAACATTTACCAATAGTCTAACTACTTCCTGGCATCACTTCTTACACTGAAAATCATTATTTCAGTTTAAGAAATTCCTTTTGAGTGCCAGATACTGAAGTAGAAGCCTCCTTCTACCTCACCAGCTACTTCTGTCTTGTTAGAACTCTTCTCTAACTTCACTCACTCTCTTGGTGACCTTATCAAGTCTCCTGGCTTTAATTATCATTTACACACAGGTGACTCTCAAATTTGTATCAAACCAAGAAAATTCCTATGAACTCTAACCTCATATCCAACCAAGTATGTGACATCTCCACTTGGAAAACACACATGCATCACATAATCGATATGTCCAAAGCACAGTTTCTCACTTTCCCTGAAAAAACTCTGCTCCTCCCATAGACATATTCTGCAAATGGCAATTTCATCCTTCTAGTCACTCATGTGAAAAGCCTGGCAGTAATCTTCCACTTTTCTCACACCCCATACTATATAAATCAGCAACTTCTGTTGGCTCTCCCTTCAAAATATAACAAAATCTAGGCATTTCTCCCCCTCCTCATCACTACTACTGCAGTGAAAAAACACAACATCTCTTACTTTGATCTTACTGCCACTGTTCTCCCTGTGCTAACTGCTTCAGTCGTGTCCGACTCTCTGCAACCGTATGGACCGTGGCCCACCAGGCTCCTGTGTTCACGGGGATTCTCCAGGCAAGAGTACTGGAGTGAGTTGCCGTGCCCTCCTGCAGAGGATCTTCCCGCCCCAGGGATGGAACCTGCGGCTCTTATGTCTCCTGCACCGGCAGGGAGTTTCTTTACCTCTAGCGCCACCCGAGGAGTCCCAACTCTTCTCCCTATTTATGCCTTATTCCTGAAAACACAACAGCCAGTGATACTTTAAAATAAAAATAAAATTAAGTCACTCTTGTGGTTCAAGACACTTCAGAGGTTCCTACATCTCAGAAACAATAAAAGCCAAAGCTCCTGAAATACGCCCCAATGCCTTACACAATTGTCACCCGCCCCTGCTCCAACAGCTCTCTACCATCATTACTATTTTCCACCTTGCTCATATTATCCAGCCACACTTGCCTCTTCATTGCTCAAGTTCCTCGGGTTTGCTCCCAACTCCGGACCCTTACACTTGCTGTTCCCCTCTGCCAGAAATGCCCCCTAGCCCCAAACTTCTTTCAATCCTTTCCCACATATCACCTTCTTGGTGAAATCATCTTCCCTGAACGCCATAAAAATTTCAGGTTTTACTCTTAATAGGTTTATTTTCCCTATGTTTACGTCTTTCAACGCTTTTAATCTTCTCCCATGTCACAAAAACAGGAATAGAAGCAAGCAAGGTCTTCTGACTAGCAATTCAAAACTTGCCATTTCACATAAATTTTTTTTCCTAACTGCAGGAGTTACTTACCTGGTGAATTATAATACTATTTCACTCCAACTATTAATTTGTAAAAAAGTAGTTTGAATACTTAAAAACAAATTATACTTCAGTGTGCTGAAGGCTTTTATAGCTTACATTTCTAAAAAGACTCTTCAATTAAAGTTAACAAAGAAGAAAACAAATTTCTAAAATGACTTTCTTTCTCCATACCTTCCAATAGTAGCTCTGCCTTCATTTTTCACAGACTGGTAAATCTTTCTCTCTTCATCTGAAAGTGTAATGTGCTGAATAAATACTTTACGTTCTGGTAACTCCAAAACAGGTTTTCCTTTAATTTTGCTTGTCTTTGTTCTTCTAAGTGTAATATTTTTAATTAGGGACTGCAAACGCCTAGTCAAAATAAAACAAATAATTATATAACTTTTTATTCCTATATAAGTTGATTCAATGAGAACAAAACTAAATATATTAATCTGTTAGTTTTATAATCTTAGTAAAGATTTTTTTTTTAAAACCCTTTATTTAGGGATTTTTATCCACTCTGATAATGACAGACATATTCTACAGAGAAAATTAGAGCAACAAACTGCATCTAAACTTGCTCTCAATTCAGTACCTGTCACAGTTTAATCTTTTATTCTGTCCTTATTTTTCTTATACTCTTCTCCCCATTTTTCTAGTCACTAACCCTTTTCACTTCTCAAGTCTGTCAACGGTCTGACCCGACATTTGACACTCAAGTTCTCAGCGAGCACCTGCTGAGCACAAGGCATCACACAAGTGTCACCAGCTCGTAACAAGGAGAAGGAACACCTATCTTCAGAAAGCTTCTCCAGCAATATGAAAATCAAAGTGCATAAATAAGTAATTTTTATAAAGTGATGAATACCAAAAATAAAAACGATGTGACAATTCAGAAGAGAGATAAATGCCTTTTTAGATTCTACAACCTTTACACTCTTTTCTCAGTATCACGGAAAAAAGGAAGCATATCAACTCTTTAAGAAAATATATTTTCCTCACACTGAAAAATAAATACAATTTCTTAAATTAGAATTTAAATAGTTGATTCTAAGGAATCAAGTAGACAACACTGCAAGCTAGGTATTAGTGGCTTTTGAACCTTTTTCACTATAACTCACAGTAAGAAGTATATTTTACTCTATCCAACAAACATACACACACACACACACAACAGAAACGAATATTTCACAAAATGATACTCTGTGTGATACACTCTGCTGTTTTATTAAATCTTATACTCTGTTTCATTTTCTTTAATGAGCTGCTGTAATGCTAGCTGCCATCTTTATGATTTCACAAACTGCTAATGAATCCTAAGCCCTGTCTGAAACCCAGCACTGTAGCAAAAATCTGAACCACGTTAGCCAAATACCTTGCAAAATGACTATCACAAAGTTGATTTTTATGTTCTCAACTTTTATCTATCTCCACCAAAAACAACTTTCTCTCTTGTAGAAACTCTTGGGGATGCCGCTGTATTATCACATCATTCAATTATCACTATCTAAAGCTTAAACAAGGTAAGTTATGAAAAGCCAGCACATATTAGGTTCTCTGAGCATATAATGTTTTCCCTATGACTGTTTATTAACGGTGGTTTTGAGAGTAAGAGCAGCATGCCAAGACTGTACAGCTCTGCTCTTTCTTCACAGTTTTGATTAAAATCAGGGGAAAGTCTGGTTAACCTTTTAGTGGTAGTTAGAAATTTTCATCTCCATAAACAAGAATGATTAGATTTTGAGAGTCAAATGCATTAAGCTGTAAACACGTTTTGGAGAGGAATGCCACAACAGTCAGGAAAAAAAATGGTAATGAAAGTGGCAACTAGTTCAAGCTGCTAACAACCATTTGCAGCTCTCAGTCGTGAAATCACCTACCTAAGTCCAGCTTCATCTCCCATTGTGACAGGACGCTGTATTGTTCTGTGCCACCATTCTCTATCAACAAATGGTTTTAGTTTCAAAAAGGAAAGAAGAGACCACAAGTCCTTTAAAGAATTTTGAATTGGAGTGCCTAAAAAGAACAGAAAACTCTTATAACTCCACAGCAAGAGTACACAATCAAAATATCCACCTGGCCCAATTAACTGAGACAACACTTGAAAATGGGCACTTAGTTCTATTAAGCACACCCACTATTAAGCTGCGACTATAACGCTTTATTAAACACATACACAATCTCAAAATCCAGTCTGGCTCTTTTAGCTCTCACTTGCCATACTAACAAAAAGAACACAGATGCCGTAAACTCAACTTTCCCCTTATCAAGAACATTTGCTTATCAGATTTTTAAATCAGTAGCACTAGTGAGAAGAAAAAAACTAATTTTTGAGTTTATATTCTTGTTCCCATCTTCCAGTACAGGTTCACATGTAGCAAACAAGCTCCAAGATGGGAAGCAGAGAAATCAAGATTCTGATTGGAGAATTAAAAGTGTCAAATTCCAATGCTGAAAAATTATTCTGGTGACTGTTCTATAACTAAACAATAATTCAAATGTTGCTGTATCATGGGCAGTTATGAAAAAAAGTCAGTTTTATTAAATGATTTCTATAATTATTTTTTGAGAGACTTTATATCCACTTCAAATTTACAAGTTACCTCATAACTTACTTAACAATATGTATTTTGGAATTAACTTTTCTGAAGTATATGCTATCTCAAAATCCAGTGAGACAGTATATGCTATCTCCAAATCCATGTCATTACCTGTCAAAACCCATCTTCTTTCTGCTTCTAAATCAAGTACAGCTTTTGTTTGCTGAGCATTTGGATTTCGTATGGCATGTCCTTCATCCAGGATCACTCTTAGCCATCTTATGCTATGTAAAGGACTATCACCCTTAGTCTGAAATAAATATTTCATATGAATTAAAAACACAGGAAATTAAAATACTTCATATAATTTGATAATAATATTGAGTTATTTTTTAATATCATCACTTACTATGTGGTAGGTACTTCTTTAAGCATTACATACATTAAATTATTGAATGTTCACAAACTTATAAAGTATTATTATTCCTATTTTACAAATGAGAAAATTGAAGCACCAAAGTATGGTATATGTTGCTCAAAGTACCACAGCTAGGAAGTGCTGAGCTAGCATTCAAACCCAAGTTGTCTAGCTTTCTGCTGATTCCATGGTTCAAAACACTAAGTTATGCCTCAAACATATGACATATGATGTCAGCTATAAGAATTATTTGAAATAGCAGAATGGCTTTTTTATGTAAAAATCAATGTTCTTACCTGAAGACTAAAATTTTTATAAGAAAGTATTTTGGAGAACATTTTCACTTAAAAACTGGAATTTAGACAATTAGAATCCTAAATGAATTGGGAAACTCCTAAGTTTCAGATATTAAAAAAGCTTATTTTTAAATAGAGATAAACAATTATCAAATCATTGTGACAGAAAACAATATTCCAAATTAGAAAAAGAATTCACTGACAAATTGCTGGATACACTTAAATTCAAATTTAAAAATTTAAGTGGTCTAACTATAAAAATATCCCTAAATTATTATCTAAAGGAAGTTGAACCTTCCTTTTTTTGGCAAAATATTAAAAAGCAATTTTCTTTTGTGGTGAGAAGAGAGGCAGAACGGCAGCATCACCGTCTAAGAGGTAACACCCAGGGCCTGCCTTCCACACCTGCACATGAGGGCCAGGCAGCCCAGAGGACCAGAGGACAGGGTGCCCGTGCTAGCTTAGCTGTGATCACGGCTGGAAGGATAGCTTGATGCTCAAGTTTCTCCATCTGTGCAGTGATGATGTGGCAAATTCCACATCTGAAGAAACCCATCAACTCCTGAAACAGAGATCCTTAATCTGGAGGTAGAGCCCACAGAAGGAATTCAGGGCACTCCCACCAGTTCCTCAAATTATATGCTAAATTATATGGATAGGTATGCATGTGAATAGTTCTGAAAAGGGGGTCTAGAGCAGCACTGTCCAACTGGAATGTTGTGCAACCACATATGTCATATTCAATTTTCCAGTAGCCACATTTAAGTAACAAGATGTAGGTGAAATTAATTTTAATAAAATATTTTACTTAAAAAATTTCCCATTTATTTCGTATATATTCAGAAAGAAAAAAGAGAAGAGTATAAAGCCTAAATTTTAGAACACTTTAGAAACCTGAAGCAATTTCTTAAATTCAACTTCTGAAAATCTCTGAGTATCAACACACTTACACCATAGTCATGAGTTAAAATATTGTATGTAGTCAAAACAATATCCTGTTTTGAAAGCAAGGTTGGGTCTCTAACACGATCAGGACCATAATAAACATAAAAATTCAAGTGCACATCTGATTTTATGTGTTGTCCAAACTGGTCCTAAAAGAAAATAAGAAATATTTTAATAATGAGAAGATAAGTATCAGGTTTAATATGTACATAAAATACACTGTCTTGGCAGTTTCACAAGTCAAAACTACTAAAATCCCATAAAAACAAGTTTCATGCAATCTAAACTAAAACAACAATAACAATACTAATATTTTATTGTCAGAGAAACTGACATATTTACAGTAATAATAAATTATATAAATTTTGCCTGGCCCTACCAGTGAGCAGCTGCTTCATCTTTAGAAGTTAAAAAGCAACCAAGCTCTTTTAAGATAGTAATTAGGTTTTTATAAATTTAGTATTCTACAAAAAGGATCTTTAATAATTACAATTAGTGACTCAGTATTTTAAAAATTAAACCATAAAAGAGCAGTAAGCAATATTTTCATGAATGTAGGCAGAGTTTCAAGCACAGTATCTGCTTTCATTCATTTATTATAAGACTACTATTTGTCAGGTATAAACTAGAAAGATGGTACAGCTAAAGAAAAAAATAAGACCAGGTTGCTGTCCTCCTTGACAACATGATCAGTTTTTAAAACTTACGAGTTCTTTGTTTGGGTTTTTTTTAACTTAAGAAAACAACAGAGCTGAGAGATTCTGAGCAGAAAACAAAAATACAAAAGATGAGAAAGAGAGAAGATGCTCAGGAGACACCGCTGGGAAACCGCCAGGTGGGAATGATGAGGACGAAGACCTAAACCAGAATGGCAAAGGCCAGCCCAGAGCGGGAAGGACCGATGTGCGCACGGGCTGATGTGACTTGAGAACTAACTAAATATGGAATATGAAGGCAAGGGAGAAAACAAAAGAAGACCCCGAAACTTAAAAAACCACTAGAAGAACTGTGTGATAATGATACAGAGAAGTTTTAAAAAATAAGGAAAAACAGGCATAAAGATGAGAAAGAGGTAATGAGTATTACTATTTTAGACATTTTAAAATTTTGGTCACCTTAAAATATCTAACTGGAGAAATACGCCACAAAAATTTAAATACTGGCCTATAATGCAAGTGAAGATATAGTCTTCAAAGTTATCAGTATCAGTACATGAAACCACTGGAATAAATAAGATTCTCTACGGAGAACAAATACAATGATAGAAGTAGGTTTAAGGGAAAGAGTCTACAGTGAGCAATATTTAAAGAGCAAAGCTTATGCTTCTATTGGGAGACAAGACATGAAGTCTGAGGTACAATTTAAAATATTCCAGCAAAAAAAAAAATAAAGCAAAAGTGTTGAACTTTTGATTCTTGAATCTAGAGGACTAATATGAAAGAGGAGAATGAAAGAGTTGGCCTAAAGCTCAACATTCAGAAAACTAAGATCATGGCATCTGGTCCCATCACTTCATGGCACATACACGGGGAAACAGTGGCAGACTTTATTTTTTCGGGCTCCAAAATCATTGCAGATGGTGATTGCAACCATGAAATTAAAAGATACTTACTCCTTGGAAGGAAAGTTATGACCAACCTAGACAGCATATTGAAAAGTAGAGACATTTCTTTGCCAACAAAGGTCCATCTAGTCAAGGCTATGGTTTTTCCAGTGGTCATGTATGGATGTGAGAGTTGGACTATGAAGAGAGCTGAGTGCTGAAGAATTGATGCTTTTGAACTGTGGCGTTGGAGAAGACTCTTGAGAGTCCCTTGGACTGAAAGGAGATCCAACCAGTCCATCCTAAAGGAGATCAGTCCTGGGTGTTCATTGCAAGGACTAATGTTGAAGCTGAAATTCCAATACTTTGGCCACGTCATGCGAAGAGTTGACTCGTTGGAAAAGACCCTGATGCTGGGAGAGACTGAGGTCAGGAGGAGAAGGGGACGATAGAGGATGAGATGGTTGGGTGGCATCGCCAACTCAATGGGCATGAGTTTGGGTAAACTCCGGCTGGGAGTTTGTGATGGACAGGGAGGCCTAGCATGCTGTGATTCATGGGGTCACAAAAAGTCGGACACGACTGAGTGACTGAACTGAACTGAACTGAACGTGGATCTCATTACAAATTTTCATAATACCAACAAAAAAAGCTTAGGAGAAAAAAGGCAGACTACATATGATGTATGGAAGAGGTGCAGAAAAACAACGGTCACTGAGACAGCAAACAAAACCTTGAGTGGAGGACCAAAGAATATCAAAGTTCCAAGAACAAATACAAGGTTAATTTTTTAATTTGTAATTTATGCTCATTCCCTCTATTTACCAAAAGGGTTAAAGACGATTTACAAAATAACAGGTAACAAAAAGTAATAAAAGGAAAACAAAGTCAGCGCAGGGAAAGGAAAAAGGGAATTCTTTGGACATGGCAACAATGAAGTCTTGGACGAGAGCTCAGAGAGTTTCTAAGGAAGATGGGAGCAAAACCCAGACTTACTGTGGCCTAAAGAGAGAATGAAATCTGAAACAGCAAAGGCAAAAATACAAAGAAGATAAAACATGAAACGTTAAAGGTGAAAACGCAGAGAATTTTATCAAGAAATCCGGTGGAAAAGGAAAGGAGAAAGAGAACAGTATGAGAAAAGTCAATCAATGCATTAGCCTTGAAATGGAACGGATAATATTTGTGCAAAGATTAGATCTGACATAAAAGAAAACTACCTCTCTTGGTAAAAGAGCACCTACAGTACTGAGCTGCTGGTCACTGTGGTGGGTTGTGTGTGTGTCTGTCTGCGTGAAGAAACAGCAGCTACTACTTAATTTTCCACTGGGAGGAGAGGTAACCTGAACACCCCCCAAAAATTATTGATGTATGTGGGACTGGCATCTTACTCCTCTAACTGGATTCTTTCCCACATCTGAAGACAAAGACGGGAAGGAAAGGTTACTTCTAGCCTGCTTATTACAGTACTGTACAGCTATGTCACTGGGAGGCTTGGAAGACAGCAACTTGCAGAGATTACAAAATTCTAATTCTTATCCCTATATGCTCAACCATCATTCCTTTAAAAATGAGACATAATCATTAAATGTGAGACATAATCAAGAGAAAGTATTTGAAAATCAAAAGGATCTGAGTACATTTCATGAAAGAGCCAATGGAGAGAGACTGGACAACCAGGCCAAGAGGAAAAATAACAGGCAAAATGCAAAAGCAGAAAGAGATGGAATCTAATGTATAGACTAACGTACTGATCTTACAATGAGTAGGAACTCTGCCACGCCTGAGATAAAAGGAGGCAAGTTGAGGACAGATGCAGATAATCTTGCAGGTGGCAAGAATGGAAGCTCAAATTCAGTGGTCTTTATGTTCACAATGCTTCCAACAGTCATTATTTCATTAGAACATGCAGCTTGAAATAGAACCAAGCTGCTCCTACACAAAAAGAGGCTCCATTCCAATGTAATGGTTTACAACAGAAAAGCAATCTCAAAGGGAAAAAAAAAAAAAAAGACTCTATTTTCTGGCGAGGAGCACTTCAGTACTCTTGCCTGGAAAATCCCATGGACAGAGGAGCCTGGTATGCTGCAGTCCATGGGGTCACTAAGAGTCGGACACGACTGAGCGACTTCACTTTCACTTTTCACTTTCACACATTGGAGAAGGAAATGGCAATCCACTCCAGTGTTCTTGCCTGGAGAATCCCAGGGATGGGGGAGCCTGGTGGGCTGCCGTCTACGGGGTCGCACAGAGTCGGACACGACTGAAGTGACTTAGCAGCAGCAGCAGCCTTAAAAGTATAGGCTCTAGAGTCAGAATGTTGGACACTATCTCCTTGCTCCATCATTTACTGGCTGGATGACCTTAGGCAAGTTATTTAATTCCCCTGTGTTTTAATTCAGTCACTTGGAAAATGAGAATACTAGTTGTGAGGATTCACTGAGAAAATCTATGAAAAGAGTTTAGGAAAAACTGAGCACATAAGAGGTCATTAAATGTTTGTAATAAGCTGTTAAAAAAACAAGTTATCATTAGTGGTGTGCTTAAAAAAGAGATGTCAACAGTTCATAAATATGATGTGGTCTTAAATTATACACCTTTCCTACTTCAGGGGACAGAAAGGAAAGAGGCAGAAGTACAAGTCAAATCTTACAACAGCAACTGACAATGTTTCTTTCTCTACTATACATTTTCAGAAAAAAATTACTCCAATTCAGTAAAAATGACCCCAAGTCAATTAACAATTATTTGAATTTAACTATAAAGTGCTGAGCAACCATATTTCTCCCAACAAATGACTCTCTTTATAGTGTAAGACAAATATAAATTATATTTTTAAAGGGCTGTGAGGATTTACCATCCAGTTGCTTAATACAGAAAGTGGACAGATGATCAGTGTTGTTCTTGGTTTATCTTCAACATCAGTTTTCTTTGAACTCTCCACTGCAGATGCTCCTGAAAGAATGAATCAGCGACACATCTTTCAGCAGTGTTATTTTTTCTCAAACATACATGAAGTCAATAAAGATATGTCAAAAATAAGCCTCTATGAAGAGAAATTAGGAATAATTAAAAAGAAACAAAAAAACTTCTGTTTCTAGCCATAATGAAGTAACAGGAACTAGATTTTACCTTGCCACTTTATACAACTAAAAATCTGAATAGTGATTGTTTATGGGAAATGTAGAGGATGACTGACTGAGAAAGGGCATACAGAGGAAATCTGGAACATCTCCTAATACTTGTTAGGTTATTCACAGTTATTAAAGTTTGTTTTATACAGTTTTCTGAATTTGTACTGTAGTTAATGTGATATCAGACTCCAAGATGGGCCCAAATGGTATCTAATTCCCCACAGTCTCAATCTTGTATAGCTCCCTTCCACATTCAACTAGAGTTGGTGGATATGATCCCCTGGAGAAGGAAATGCCAACGCACTCCAGTGTTCTTGCCTGGAGAATCCCATGGACAGAGGAGCCTGGTGGGCTACAGTCCATGGGGTCGCAGAGAGTTGGACACAACTTAGCGACTAAACAACAACATGACCAGCAGGATGTGGTAGAAATGATCGTGTATCACTTCTGAGATTGTTATGAAAGACACAACTTCTGACTCAGATGCTCTCTCCCTCCGTCTAGTCAGCCTCTCTCTCTGATCACTCTCTCTGGGAGAGGCCAGCTGTCACGTGAGGACACTCAGGACAGCCTATGGAAGGACACACTACAGTTTTATTTTCCACTTCCCTACTGGACAGTACTGACATTTTTTTCTAATATGTTGCTAAAATAATGTGATAAAACTATTTTCTCACATCTCCTAGTAGATATCAAGAGTTCTAAGTCATGTATCTTTGGGTTCATTGTACAGCTTACTTGTTCTCCAAGGTAATTTACACTTCCATACACTGTGTTCCTGTTCCTTGCCTATAAACTGTGAGATTTTGGGGGGGGGGGGCAAGCTGTGCCCCACAGCTTCTGGGATCTTGGTTTCCTGACCAGGGATCTAATCCTTGCTATCTGCATTAGCAGCACAGAGTCTTAACCACTGAACTGCCAGAGAAGTCCCACATTCCTTAAAATTTCTAAAGTCAGGGTCAACAGTAATCTAAGAAGTATTTTCTATTTCTAATTTTCTGATTTTAGACAAAACTTAACTCTTTCTCATCATTCTTTGCTAGTTCAAATATCACCTTCTTAAACAGGTTGTTGTTTAGTTTCTCAATTGTGTCCAGCTCTTTGCGACCCTAGGGACTGCAGCCTGTCCTTTACCATCTCCCAGAGTCTGCTCAAACTCACGGCCATTGAGTCGGCGATGCCATCCAACCATCTTGTCCTCGCTCATCCCCTTTCCCTCCTGCCTTCAATCTTTCCCAGCATCAGAGTCTTTTCCAATAAGTCAACTCTTTCCACCAGGTGGTCAAAGTACTGGAGTTTCAATTTCACCATCAGTCCTTCCAATGAATATTCAGGACTGATTTCCTTTAGGATTAACTGGCTGGATCTCCCTGCAGTCCAAGGGACTCTCAAGAGTCTTCTCCAACACCACAATTCGAAAGCATCAATTCTTCAGTGTTCCGCCTTCCTTATGGACCAACTCTCACATCCTGTACATGACGACTAGAAAAACCATAGCTTTGACTAGACGGACCTTTACTGGGAAAGTAATATCTCTAATTTTTAATACACTGTCTAGGTTTGTCACAGCTTTTCATCCAAGGAGCAAGTGTCTTTTAATTTCATGGCTGCAGTCACCATGGACAGTGATTTCGGAGACAAGAAAATACTCTGTCACTGTTTCCATTATTTCGCCATCTATTTCCCATGAAGTGATGGGACCAGATGCCATGATCTTTGTTTTTTCAATGCTGAGTTTTAAGGCAGCTTTTTCACTCTTCTCTTTCACCTTCATCAAAGGGTCTTTAGTTCCTCTTCATTTTCTGCCATAAAGGTGGTGTCATCTGCATGTCTGAGCTTATTGATACTTCTCCAGAAATCTTGATTCCAGTTTGTGCTTCATGCAGCCTGGCATTTCGCAGGATGTAATCTGCATATAAGTTAAATAAGCAGGGTGATAATATACAGCCTTGATGCACTCCTTTCACAATTTTTAACCAGGAACCTTAGGTCAGTATTTATTTCACTCTTTTTCTTTATTGTCTTCATGTTTGCTGCTCGCTAAGTCACTTCAGTCGTGTCTGACTCTTTGCCACCCTATAGGCTGTAGCCCACCACGTTCCTCTGTCCATGGGATTCTCTTAAGTAAAAATAATGGAGTGAGTGGCCATGCATCCCTCCAGGGGATCTTCCTGACCAAGGAATCAAACCAGAGTCTCTTATGTCTCCTGCATTGTAGGTGGATTCTTTACTGACTGAACTACCAGGGAAGGTCCATTTTTAAAGTCCTTATTGAATCTGTTAAAATAATGATTACGTTTTACATTTTGGGTTTTCTGGCCCCAAAATATGTAGGATCTTAGCTCCCTGGCTAGGGATCGACCTGAACCCCCTGAATTGGAAGGCAAAGTCTTAACCACTGCCCACTAGGAAAGTCCCATCCTGTGTCTTTTGACCGGAACATCTGGTCCATAATTATTGATATATATCTATCGTCTTATTGCCATTTTGGTAGTTCTTTTGGATTTCCTTTTGTAGGTCTTTTTCCCCTTCTTTTGTTATCTTATTATTTGATGACTATCTTTAGTGTTATACTTGCACTCCTTCTTCTTTTTCGTATGTATATTTTTTATAGATTTTGGTTTGCAGTTACCATAAGATTTTGTAAATCCTAAAGGAAATAAGTCCTGAATATTCATTGGAAGGACTGATGCTGAAGTTGAAGCCCCAATTCTTTGGCCACCTGATGCAAAGGACTGACTCACTGGAAAAGACCCTGATGCTGAGAAAGATTGAAGGCAGGAGGAGAAGGGGACGACAGAGGATGAGATGGTTGGATGGCATCACCGACTCATTGGACGTGTTTGAGTAAGCTCTGGGAGTTGGTGATGAACCGGGAAGCCTGGCGTGCTGCAATTCATGGGTCACAAAGAGTCAGACACGACTGAGCGACTGAACTGAACTAATGAGGTTTTTGTACAACAGCTTCTATACATACATGATTATTTTAAGTTGCTGATCTCTTAATTTCAAATGCATTTTAAAAACTCCCTTATGACCACTATTTTTGAGATATTTTACATCTAATTGTCTTGTGTATTCCTTAACTGATTATAGACATAGATGATTTTACTACTTTTGTCTTTTAACCTCCGTACTAGCTTTGTATGAGGATGATTTTCTACTTTAACTGTACGTTTGCCCTTTACAGTTGAGTTTTTTCTTTCTGTAATCTTGTTTCTAGTTGTGACCTTTCCTTTTTTGCCTAGAGAAGTTCCTTTAACAATTGTAAACCTGGTTTGGTAGTGCTGAACTCTTTCATCTTTTGCTTGTTTATAAAGCTTTTGATTTCTCCATCAAATCTTTAGGAGACTCTTGCTAGGTACAGTATTTTTGGTTGTAGGCTGTTCCCTTTCATTACTTCACATTTATCAAGCCACTCCCTTCTGGCCTGCAGAGTTTCTGCTGAAAAATCAACTGATATCCTTAAGGGAGTTCCCCTGTATGTTATTTGCTGCTTTTCCCTTGCTGCATTAAATATTTACTCTTTATCTTAAATTTTGCCATTTTAATTATAATGTGTCTTAGCATGTTCCTCCCTGGATTCATCCTGTATGGAACTTAGTTGTTCCTCATTTTGGGTGACTGTTTCCCAGGTTAGTGAAGTTTTCACAGCTATTACGTCTTAGGCTTTTTCTTTTCCTCTTCTCCTTCTGGGACTCCTATAATGCAAATATTAGTGAGACTGGTGTTTTCCCAGAACTCTCTTAAAGTGTCCTCACTTCTTTTCATTCATTTTTTTCCTTTACTTTTCTTTTAATTATTAATTGCAGGATAACTGCTTTACAGTAGTATGCTGGTTTCTGCCACGGATCAACATGAACCAATCACAGGCATACATATGTCCCCTCCCTCCTGCACCTCCCTCCCAACCCACCCCACCCCTCCAGGTTGTCTCAGCACACCAGAACTGAGCTCCCTGTGTCATAAGCAAACTCCCACCAGCCATCTGATTGTACACAGGGCAATGCACACGTTTCAGGGTTAGAGTGTATACACAGGGCAATGCACACGTTTAAGGGTTAGGGTGTATACACAGAGCAATGCACACGTTTAAGGGTGAGGGTATGTACACAGGGCAATGCACACATTTAACGGTGAGGGTATGTACACAGGGCAATGTACACGTTTAAGGGTTAGGGTGTACACACAGGGCAATGCACATGTTTAAGGGTTAGGGTGTATACACAGGGCAATGCGCACGTTTAAGGGTTAGGGTGTATACACAGGGCAATGTACACGTTTCAGGGTTAGGGTGTATACACAGGGCAATGCGCATGTTTAAGGGTGAGGGTATACACAGGGCAGTGTACATGCTTCAGTGCTGCTCTCTCATGCGCCCCACCCTCTCCTGCTCGCACTGCGCCCACACATCTGTTCTCTATGTCTGTGTCTACGCTGCTGTCCTGTAAACAGGTTCGTTTTTTTTTCCTTTTTCTGTTTAGTAGCAGTGATTTCTACAGAGCTGGAGGAATCATGCTCTCTAACTTCAAACTACACCACAAAGCTACAGTAAGCAAAACAGTATGGCTGAGGCACATAGAACAATGGAACAGTAGAGAGAGCGCAAAAATAAACCTACACACTTATCGTCAATTAACCTACAACAAAAAAGACAAGAATATACAATGGAAAACAGCCTCTTCAATAAGTGGTGATTTGAAAACTGGACAGCTACATGTAAAAAAGTTAAAGTAGAACATTCTCTAACACCACATATGAAAATAAACTCAAAATAGACTAAAGATCTAAAAGTAAGGCCAGATTTTATAAAAATCCTACAGGAAAACAGAACACTCTCTGATATGAATCATTGCACTATTTTTTGGATCCATCTCCTAAAGAAAATAAAAGCAAAGATAAACAAATGGGACCTAATTAAACTTAAAAGCTTTTGCACAGCAAAGGAAACCACTGACAAAACAAATAAGCTAAATGGGAGGCCTACTAAATGGGAGGATATATTTGCAAATAATATGACTAATAAGGGATTAATATACAATCAGCTCATATAACTCAACATCAAAAACACAAACAACCCAATTAAAAAATGGGTAGAAGACCTGAATAGACATTGTTCCAGAGAGGAAATGTAGATGGCCAACAGGCACATGAAAATATGCTCAACATCAATGCAAATCAAAACCACAATGAGGCATCAAATACCTCATACCTATCAGAATGGCTATCATCAAAAAGAATACAAATAACAAATGATAGTGAGGCTGTAGAGAAAATGGAACCCTCATATACTATTAGTGGAAATAAAAATTGGTACAGCAACTATGAAAAACAGTAAGGTAGTTTCTCAAGGAACCACATGACCCAGCAATTCTACACTTGGGTATATACAAAAAGATAAAAATACTAATTCTAAAACAACACACTCACCCCAATGTTCCCAGAGGCATTACTTATAACTGCCAAGATATAGAGCAATCTAAGTGTCCATCAGCAGATGAATGGAAATAAAAGATGTCACACACACACACGCGCGCGCGCGCATGCACACACTATGGAATATTACTCAGCCATTAAAAAAGAATGAAATTTGGTGAATTCACTGGTGGTCCAGTGGTTAGAACTCAGCACTTTCACTGCTAAGGCCCACATTCAATCCCGAGTCTGGGAACTAAGATTTCACAAGCTAACAAAAGGAAAAGGTAAAAACTTTTAAAAAGTTTAACTTTTAAAAAGTTAAAAACAAAAGGAAAAGTTAAAAACAAATAATGGCAGAAAGTGAAGAGGAACTAAAGGGCCTCTTGATAAAGGTGAAAGAGAAGAGTGAAAAAGTTGTCTTAAAAACTCAACCATCAAAAAACAAAGATCACAGTATCTGTTCCCATCAGTTCATGGCAAATAGATGGGAAACAACAGAAATAGTGACAGACTATTTTCTTGCGCTCCAAAATTATTGCAGATGGTGGCCGCAGCCATGAAATTAAAGACTCTTGCTCCTTGGAAGAAAACCTATGAAAAACCTAGACAGCGTAGTAAAAAAGCAAAGACATCACTTTGCTGACAAAGATCCATCTAGTCAAAGCTATGGTTTTTCCAGTAGTCATGGACGTGTGTGAGTTAGGCCATAAAGAAGGCTGGGCACCAAAGACGGATGCTTTTGAACTGTGGCGTTGAAGAAGACTCTTGAGAGTTCCTTGGGCAGCAAGGAGATCAACTAGTCAATCCTAAACGAAATTAACCCTGAATATTCAATGGAAGGACAAATGCTAAAATTCCAATACTTTGGCCACCTGATGCGAAGAGCTGACTCCTTGGAAAAGACTCTGATGCTGGGAAAGACTGAAGGCATGAGAAGAAGGGAATGACAGAGAATGAGATGGTTGGATGGCATCACCAACTCAATGGACATGAGTTTGGGCAAACTCCAGGAGATAATGAAGGACAGGGAAGCCTGGCATGCTGTGGTCCATGGGGTCTCAAAGAATCGGACACAACTGAGTGACTGAAAAACAACAACAAAAATAAATAAAACAAGTAATATTTTCAAAAATGAAATTTTACTATTTGAAACAACATGAATGGACTTGAAGAGCATTATGCTAAATGAATTAAGTCAGAGAAGACAAATATTTTATGATATCACTTATAAGGAGAATCTAAAAAATAAAACACACTAGTGAATATAACAAAAAAGTAGACTCACAGATATAGAGAACTAGTGGTCATCAGTGGGGAGCAGGAATAGGGGAGGGGCAAAGGAGAGGTAGGGAAGTTAAGTACAAAATATTAGGTATAAGCTACAAGGATATACTGTACAACAGGGGGAATATAGCCAATATTTTATAATAACTATAAGCGGAGTAGTACCTTTCAAAACTGTACACCTGTAACATATGATACTGTAAAGCAACTACACTTAAATAAAAAATAAATTTAAAACATTTTAAATAATGTTTACATGTTTATTTCCTATTTCCACCTCATCATTAGACATAAACCCCATGAAAACAGACTTGTCTGCTGCATTTTCAATTATGTAAAATGGAAGATACTAAGGTACAGAGATAAAATAATTTGTTAGATCACCTTAACCACAGTTCAATCTCTTTCCACTTCAGACACTTAGACTCTTAAGCAGTGTCATTTTCCTACAAGTTACAAATTATAAAGTAATAATAAACATCACTCACATTTTTAATTGAAAAACAAATTCTTCTCATACCAATAATAAATATTTACAATTCTAAGTAATCCAAATTAAATTAAGTTTTAAAGCTGCCATAAATTGCTCTGTGCCTTTACTAGAAACAATATCTCTGCTACTCAGATGAGTAAGAGACCTCTGTCCATCATATTTTTGACCGAACTAAAACAAATAGAATAGGAAAATACATAAAATTGTACTTTTAAAAATGAGATTATCTTTTTTTTCTATTTTTCTTGTAATATGATTTTATACTTTTGTCATTTAAAAATTTTTTATTTGAAAAACAGAAAAAATAAACCAAACAAAAGCAGATTTACTTACCCCTTTTCAACATTTTCTTTTTTGTTGCAGGGGTAGATGAAGTAAGTGCACAAGCAAACTCTGCATCCTCTTGAACCTTAGAAGATCCTGCTGAAGTACAAACCACAGAATCATTAAGATAAATGAAAACTAATTCTCTCCTGTACTTAAGGACAGATAACTTTCTAAGGATAGGAAACATAATACCACTTACACACTCTCAAAAGTTTGTATTATTAAATAAATATAAAATAATTTCTAGTAACCATAACTGTCTCTTTTGACACCGAGCATCTTTCTAGCTCAGAGAAGAAACAGTCATTCAGGATAAGTTGAAGCGTCTCCTAAGGAAGAAATCAGAAAGCAGAAGCAGTCAAATGCAGAGTGATTCAGCTCCCAGGTGGAAGGAGAAGACTGTCAATGAAACAGGCGTTTAACTTTTCATAAAGATGTTGCCCAATTTTCAGATCAGCCAAATGGTGATGAGTTATTTTCCAAATGCAACACAATCTCTTAACTTAGGAATATGATACAATCAGATTAGGAGATAAACAAAGTAAAGTAATGTTTTAAAGACAAAGGAAAAAGTAAAGATACTCAACATTTGTAAATTTGTATAATGCTAAATAACAGCTGAGCTATATTGACAAAAAGGTAGTCTCACCCTGCTTCTGTTACTACAATTTATACATATACAAAACAGGTTTTATTGAAGTCATTTTATAAGTAGCAGAAAGATTTTCATTTTGTCTAAAGCTGGTTTAAATATTTTCTCTTAGATTTTCATTTGAAACTATTCTTTCAATTTGCTTCATTCATTTAACACCCTTGGTAAGCTCCATAAATAGTTCAAATGTAAAAAGCAGTCGAGTTTAAGACCTATTACTACAGAACTCCAAGCTAGACAGATACAACTCAATGGGCCTTCACTTAAATAGTCTTTGAGTGTAGACAGGGGTACTGAGGCGCACAGACATACCTTTTACTCTGGCTTTAGTCTCTGATTGTGTTCTTTTCAGTCTGCCTAAAAACAAAACCAGATATAACGTGGCCACACTAGGAAATTAAAATATAGGACACAGCATCAAATCAAACTCATTTCATATTACCTTTCATTTTCTGTGGCAATTCACTTGGTTCAACTTCCTCTGAATCACTACTTTCAGTGTACAGAACAGCAGGTTTTCTCCTAAGATTAAGTATACACAATTTTTTTATCAACCCAAAACAAAACGGGATATAAAATCTATGTTTAATAAATGTAATACAAATGCTTTTGTCTTACCCTGGTTTATTTTTTGAGAAAATTTCAAGGGAAAAAAAATTTTATTTGACAAATGAAAGCCAAATTTGTTAAAAGCATTTTGCTTTCATAGCCAGATGCATTTAACTGTACAAAATGCAGTATCATGATTATTAAAATAAATTTGAGAAAGTAAACAATTCTAGAATAGTAATCTCTTCAACACTTTATTCAGTATTTGGTAATTAAAACACTTGTATAAAAACAGAACAAAAAAGAAGTGATTCTGATTATCAAAGAAAACCCTCCAATATAAAGTAAGCAGCTAAGAGGCAAAAATATAATTCTTTCATAATGGAAACTTTTGTAAATTCTGTGGAGAAGTAGTACAGTACTATGTTTAAGTGCCTAGAAACAATGGACTGTGGAATGAGACTGCCTAGATTCAAAGCTCCATTCCACCATTTATTTGCTATGTGATTTTTGGCAAATTACCTAATATTCTTCTAAGTTTCAGTTTCCTCACTTGGAAATTAGTAATAAAGATACAATTCACTCTGTACGATAAAATGTGTTAGCACATGTAAAGCCTCTAAAATAGTCCCTGCTGCACAGTAAGTATGTATTTATTAACAGTTTGTGTGTTGGTTGTTTTTCCCATGTCATCGTTATTTCCACACCCTTGAACTTAATCTGGTCCAGGGGATAGTGCTCTGTGATCCAGACTCATGGTCAGTTCAGAGTTATATAAGATCTGAGATCTTAAAAGGCAAACTGATGAGTCCTTGTTTTATACTCAGCTCAGACAGGTATTAAAGATAGAAAAATTAACAAAGTCCCAGATTTGAAATCTCTATTTCAAATAGAATAGCTAAGAGGGACTCAGATTTGAGGTCACACCTGCAGGTATCGACGGTGAACAACAAAACACAAAAGCTAAGTATTGAGATCTACCTCGGAGAATAAATAAAATTTATAAACTTAACAACTCAAGTGGAAATCAGAGGGGCATTATGGGTTTTATTCAAATTCTCCTTCCAGTCTACATTAATATAATACTGTCCATAAACAACTTTATCATGTTTTATTTCTACTAAAGGTGAATTGAGAAACAACTCAGATGAGCAAAGAATGCTTTTTTGTCAAGTCATCCAATAAATATACATCAGTTCTCAACTCCTTAAATTTACAAAGAAAACTCTTCTAAAGTCTCAATAAAAACAAAAAACCCAAGAGTGAGATCTCAGTTCCAATGTAAAAGAAATAGGAAAATTATAGATAGTGATTATTAAAAATTACCAATTACTTCTTTTATATAATAATGTTACTTTTTAACCTATAAAATGAGAACAGTCTACCTCCCTAAGTCACAATGATTTTAGCAGTTTCAAATTAAAGAATGTATTTGAAAGAACTATGATGTGGAAATAATGGTCATATCTTTCTTCTATATGTAAGAAAATAGAGAAAGAGTTTAAACATATTACATGAAATCAAACCATAACAGAGTTTACCTTTTGGGGCGGGAGCTAGGGACTTCTGATTTGGGATATTTATTCTTTCCCTTGACATCTGAAATACTGGGTTCTCCACTACATCTGGATCCTTCCACTTCAAAGAAAAGGATAAAGAGTATTAGTAAACTGTCTCAGACAAGAAGCATCTTTCTTAAAACGTTGGTTTTCTAGCTCAATAGCTACAGTTTCCTAATCTAGTATTTTCTCACAAAAGTACCTTCAACTTTTTTGTAATCTAGTCATTTCCCCTGTAGTCATCCAGTCAGTCCTTACACTGACTGTATTTCCTGCTATACCAAGGCAGCTGAGAGCTGCTGCAGGAAAAAATGAACAATAAACAAGTGATATAATAAGTGTACACTTTCCAATCTCAGTTGTCAACCTTGCATCACTTAGCAACTCTTCTACCTATCACAGCGCCTCCCTACGCACTCACCTGGAATAGCTGTACTATCATACACTGGATCCTCTGCCCAGATTTTAAACTCCTTTTACTCCCAGCAGATGACCTACTTCACTTGATAAAGAAAATCAGATGTCATCTTCTATAAATTAATCAATTTTCCTTTTTTTTAATTTTTTAATTCTCTCAATTAACTATATTTCTCCTCGGCATCACTTCCTTTCCTTCTAATGCTAACTCATCTACCTATTTTCTTGATCACATTTCCTCCCAAAGGCCAACAAATAATTCTTTCCATTACATACCAATTTTTTTTCCTAAACCCTGCCCCCACCACGAAGCCCTCATTCTGCCTCTCTCTCCAACTATTTTACCCCTGTCTCAAACATAGCAAAATTCGTCACAGAACACAGATGTTACTTCTATTTCTTCATCTACTAGTCTTAATTTATTTATTTCTACTAGTCTTATTTTAAAATATTTTCCGTCTTGCTCTGCTCTAACCAATCTTCAGAAATTAATTTTATGAAAGTCACTAATTGCTAAATGCAGCCATGTAACTGCTAAATCCACGGATCCCTTTTCATATCTGCTCTAATTTGGCTCTAACCTATCTATCTTAATCTGCTGCTATTCATGCCTATTTATTCATATTCAGTTATTTATTTACATTATAAACACCACAAACTATCCTGAGGTCCCAGAGCAAGATACTCTGTTTTGTTTTGCTGTTAGCTGCCCTTTCCTGAGGCTTTTTTCCTCAACCAAAAATGTTCTTCCTCAGCTTCTTTAATGTGTTACCACCCAATTTCATCATGGCCTCCGTCAGGAAATTTTTCTTGACTACTAGTTTTCATGAGATTCTTTAGAAAACAGGTCTGAAGTTTCTGTACAGTAGTAAAGCCAGAGGTGGAACCACATCAGTAAACTGGAAACACCTATGGGGTCAGGCTCAAGCTTCAGGTTTACCTTTGATGAGTCCAGCTGCCTCTTCACTGGTATTGTTTCCTCCAAGTTCCACAGACTCATCGTAAACATTACATTCCTAGAAGAAAAGGCATATTTCTTACATAGTATTGCTGTCAGTTTTAAGTAAACTTAAAAATATATCCTATTTTATACTGCCTTACTTTACACAATAAAGACTACTTAAATGGCTACCCTGTTCTGGACCAATGTAAGGAGGTACATTAAGAGGAAAAATGTACAAATTGAAGAAAAAAATTTTTAACAGGTATCTGAAAAAAGAAAACTAGTCTGTCTCAACCTTTTCAAAAGAAATACAAAAAGCAAACTTCAATTATAAATGGCATATTACTGTGAGAAACAGTCACAAATGGGATTTACTGCAGAATTAAAAGGAATTCTAACACTAGACACTTTGAAACCAAGAGTCCCTTCTCAATAGATAACAGGTCTACAGTGAAGCTATGCTGCCACGGACATCCTTTCTTTCTCTGTAACTCCTAAAGTGGGTAGATCCAACAGTCAGGCATCAGGGTGCCTCCTCCCTTGCTCTATCAGGGATTTTCCTGCCAACTCTTTGTTCTTTTCCCTTCCTGTTTGTTTCAAAAATGCATCCATGTGAGCACAAGAACTTCTACAAAAGCAAACTTTTATACTTCTCTGTGAGAGTATTTTCAACTGAGTCTACTAGGGCAGGGTTCCTCCAATCTTATCTCTAGACTTGATTCTGTATGAAGGAATGACAGATAAAATTGGGTTTAATTAAATTAATTCTTTCAGTTTAAAAAGAAAGGTAGGTAATATTGTGAAAGAAATATCATTACTTTGAATCAAAACCTCACAGTGGTTTCACAATTGGATAGCAGGAGTACAGCGTAATTTTTGCCCAGAATTAAGGCCAATAAAAGATATTTTATTTTAGTTTTTTAAAAGACAATTTTAAACATTTTATAAAATCCCACTAAAGTTTACATTTCTCTAAAAATGTGGCTGAAAAGAAAATCCATCCCCTTCCAACAGTATGAGTCTAAATAGATTAAAAATCCAAGATACACCATTTTTAGAGATATATAACTAGAAATTAGATAATTAATTTTGAAAAGCATGAGCTCCAAGAAGCAGATGTTAAAAATGTCTTTAGTCAGACATCCTACCCAGTCTTCCTCAGTAATCAGCACACTTATATTAAATAGCATGCAGAAATAATTTTAAAATTTATCTAAAAAATAAAGGATGTCCTTTATATTATTCTTTTCACATTAAATGACTTTGCTCAGCAAGCCTTTTCTTCATGAAGTTTTAAAAAAATGTACATATAAACTCTAACCAATCAAATACTATGCACCAATCTCACTGAATTTAATAACATTTCACTCTCTAAGTTTGCAATATCGAAATCTATTTGACATAATGAAATTTCTGTTGCAGTATATGCCTGGCTGGAAATCACATTTTCAGTCTCAATTTCAACTAATGTAGCAAACGAAATATCCTAAAGCCTTTCTACTGCATAACACGTTAAATGCATGGCTGATCTTAAGGGAAAAAAGAATGCCTTACTGTTAAACTGGTAATTAACAATGAAGTTCTAAGTAGTCTTCGGTACTATTTTTCAGTTTTAATAACTAAAATGTAGCGGGGGAAAAAAGGAAAAAGCACTGGGATATTCAGGGTAGGGGACTGAATCCTAAATGTTAATAACATAGTTAAACTCCCAATAAAAGTGCAAAGAAGGAAATGCAACTAAGTTTATAAATTAAGAAAATGGAAAATGAATAAACAGCACTAGGAAACTGATATGCAGCATCTTTGAAAACTAAAAAATCAGAAGAACAGCAGCAGATAAAAGTCCAAAAAAAAAATTTTGCATATACCTTGTACTTAAATTATTTCCTATTTTAAATTCTTTGGACTTTCAACTGAGAATGAAGAACGATCATTTCATTCTAAGAGCGCTTATTTTCCTTGTAAAATGAATTCTTTATTAATTCTTCAGTTCAGTCGCTCAGTCGTGTCCAACTCTTTGCGACCCCATGAACTGCAGCACACCAGGCCTCCCTGTCCATCACCAACTACCAGAGTTTACCCAAACTCATGTCCATTGAGGCAGTGATGCCATCCAACCATCTCATCCTCTGTCATCCTCTTCTCCTCCTGCCTTCAATCTTTCCCAGCATCAGGGTCTTTTCAAATGAGTCAGCTCTTTGCATCAGGTGGCCAAAGTACTGGAGTTTCAGCTTCAAAATCAGTCCTTCCAGTGAACACCCAGGACTGATCTCCTTTCGGATGGACGGGCTGGATCTCCTTGCAGTCCAAGGGACTCTCAAGAGTCTTCTCCAACACCATAGTTCAAAAGCATAAATTTTTCAGCACTCAGCTTTCTTTATAGTCCAACTCTCATATCCATACATTACTATGGGAAAAACCATAGCCTTGACTAGACGGAACTCTGTTGACAAAGTAATGTCTCTGCTTTTTAATATGCTGTCTAGGTTGGTCATAACTTTCCTTCCAAGGAGTAAGCGTCTTTTAATTTCATGGGCTGCAATCACCATCTGCAGTGATTTTGGAGCCCCAAAAATATAGTCAGCCCCTGTTTCCCATCAATTTGCCATGAAATGATGGGACCAGATGCCATGATCTTAGTTCAGAAAACTAAGCATTCAGAAAATGCTGAGCTTTAAGCCAACTTTTTCACTCTCCTCTTTCACTTTCATCAAGAGGCTTTTAAGTTCCTCTTCACTCTCTGCCATAAGGGTGGTGTCATCTGCATATCTGAGGTTATTGATATTTCTCCCGGCAATCTTGATTCTAGCTTGGGCTTCCTCCAGCCCAGCGTTTCTCATGATGTACTCTGCATATAAGTTAAATAAGCAGGGTGACAATATACAGCCTTGACATACTCCTTTTCCTATTTGGAATCAGTCTGTTGGTCCATGTCCAGTTCTAACTGTTGCTTCCTGACCTGCATACAGGTTTCTCAAGAGGCAGGTCAGGTGGTCTGGTATTCCCATCTCTTTCAGAATTTTCCACAGTTCATTGTGATCCACACAGTCAAAGGCTTTGGCATAGTCAATAAAGCAGAACTGGATGTTTTTCTGGAACTGTCTTGCTTTTTCAATGATCCAGCAGATGTTGGCAATTTGATCTCTGGTTCCTCTGCCTTTTCTAAAACCAGCTTGAACATCGGGAAGTTCACAGTTCACATATTGCTGAAGCCTGGGTTGGAGAATTTTGAGCATTACTTTGCTAGCATATGAGATGAGTGCAATTGTGCAGTACTTTGAGCATTCTTTGTCATTGTCTTTCTTTGGGATTGGAATGAAAACTGACTTTTTCCAGTCCTGTGGCCACTGCTGAGTTCTCCAAATTTCTGGCATACTGAGTGCAGCACTTTCACAGCATCATCTTTCAGGATTTGAAATAGCTCAACTGGAATTCCATCGCCTCCACTAGCTTTGTTCGTAGTGATGCCTCCTAAGGCCCACTTGACTTCACATTCCAGGATGTCTGGCTCTAGGTGAGAGATCACACCATCGTGATTATCTGGGTTGTGAAGATCTTTTTTGTACAGTTCTTCTGTGTATTCTTGCCATCTCTTAATATCTTCTGCTTCTGTTAGGTCCGCATCATTTCTGCTCTTTATTGAGCCCATCTTTGCATGAAATGTTCCCTTGGTATTTCTCATTTTCTTGAAGAGATCTCTAGTCTTTCCCATTCTATTGTTTTCCTCTATTTCTTTGCACTGATTGCAGAGGAAGGCTTTCTTATCTCACCTTGCTATTCTTTGGAACTCTGCATTCAAATGGGAATATCTTTCTTTTTCTCCTTCACTTTTTGCTTCCCTTCTTTTCACAGCTATTTGTAAGGCCTCTTCAGACAGCCATTTTGCTTCTTTGCATTTCTTTTTCTTGGGGATCATCTGTCTCCTGTACAGTGTCACAAACCTCTGTCCACAGTTCATCAGGCACTCTGTCTGTCAGATCTAGTCCCTTAAATCTATTTCTCACTTCCACTGTATAATCATAGGGATTTGATTTAGGTCATACCTGAATGGTCTAGTGCTTTTCCCCACTTTCTTCAATTTACGTCTGAATTTGGCAATAAGGAGTTCATGATCTGAGCCACAATCAGCTCCTGGTCTTGTTTTTTCTGATTATACAGAGCTTCTCCATCTTTGGCTGCAAAGAAGATAATCAATCTGATTTTGGTGTTGACCACCTGGTGATGTCCATGTGTAGAGTCTTCTCTTGTGTTGTTGGAAGAGGGTGTTTGCTATGACCATTGTGTTCTCTTGGGAAAACTCTATCAGTCTTTGCTCTGCTTCATTCTGTATCCAAGGCCACATTTGCCTGTTATTCCAGGTGTTTCTTGACTTCCTACTTCTGCATTCCAGTCCCGTTTAATGAAAAGGACATCTTTTTTGGGTGTTAGTTCTAAAAGGTCTTGTAGATCTTCATAGAACTGTTCAACTTCACCTTCTTCAGTGTTACTGGTTGGGGCATAGGCTTGGATTACAGTGATATTGAATGGTTTGCCTTGGAAACAAACAGAGATCATTCTGTTGTTTTTGAGACTGCATCCAAGTACTGCATTTTGGACTCTTTTGTTGACCATGATGGCTACTCCATTTCTTCTAAGGGATTCCTGCTGACAGTAGTAGATATAATGGTCATCTGAGTTAAATTCACCCATTCCTGTCCATCTTAGTTTGCTGATTCCTAGAAAGTCGACGTTCACTCTTGCCATCTCCTATTTGACCACTTACAATTTGCCTTGATTCATGGACCTAACATTCCAGGTTCCTATGTGATACTGCTCTTTACAGCATCTGACCTTGCTTCTACCACCAGTCACATCCACAACCGGGTGTTGTTCTTGCTTTGACTCCATCCCTTCATTCTTTCTGGAGTTATTTCTCCACTGATCTCCAGTAGCATATTGGGCACCTACCGATCTGGGGAGTTCATCTTTCAGTGTCTTATCTTTTTGGCTTTTCATACTGTTCAGAGGTTCTCAAGGCAAGAATACTGAAGTGGTTCTAAATATAAATATATTATGTGTATATATTCTATATATAAAAACATACATAAGTTAAGTATCAAGAATAGTCACCCATATGCTCATCAATAGGACAGAATTATCACTATTAACATTTTGGCACATACAGTATGTGTGACTACACTTAACACATATACAAATATGTATTTACAAATGAAGATTCAAATTCTATACAAGATGTACCTGGCCTCTTTTTCTAACTAAAAAAGATCATGAAAGTATTCTTCAAAAATAGGATTTCATAGTTTGATAATAAGTTAATTATCATCTTGTTGAAAAGTATTGTTTTTCTGCCTTTAAAATAATGCTGGGGCAATAAAGCTGTATTTTTCTCTTTGTAATAAATACATTTCTGATAACTTCTTCAGACAGTTTTTTTGAAATGGCATTACTGAGTCAAAGATTATAAATGCTTTTAATGCTTCTGATACATATTACCAAATTGACTTCAAAATGTAGTATCAACTTTCACTCTCATCAGCAATATGCAAGGCCATTCATCATACCTCTAAAAACTGGGTATTATCAACTTTTTGCCAATAACTTTTTAATGACAAAATTTAAGTTTTATAATAAACCAGAGAGTTTAGAAAAAACACACTAATACTTTACCTTCTTCAGTTGATTTTTCTTAATTCTTTCAACAGGAAGAGACTTGCCATCATGGAAGTTGGTAAGAATCACTGCAATGGCTGTCAAAGTTTTGCCCTATAAAGTGTTTTACAAAGAAAAATGCTCAGATTCTGAAACCCAACAAAACCAATTTTTAAATAAAGTAAGAAAATATCAAACAGCATTCAGGGCCACAGAAGTGTGCTGATTATTATACTAAATAAAATACATATTAATGAAGTTATCTCACATTACATTAGGAAATGCCTTACCACGCTGTATTACTCGGAGTTATTAAATAATTTACTATAAAATACTATAAGCGTCTTTGAGAAATGTTATTTTATAGAACAACTGCCATTTAAAATTTCACATTTAACCCTGAACTAATAACTTTATCATGAAACTACAACTATTTGCTTGCCATATAATTCAATGCCAACTTAAAATGCTTAGTAATTCTAATATGAACATAAGGTCATTATTTTATTAAACTTAATTTAATTTCAAAACTTAAAGGCTACACCTTACCAATAGAGCATAAAGGACAACATACTTTTGTATTGTTTAAAAGTAGAAATATAAAAATTTTCATTATTTTCCATTATTTAGCTGAATTTATAATGAGCAACACATAAATAAATCTCTTTCAAGAAGAAAGCAGTGTAAAGCAACTGTTTTCAAAGTGTGGTCCACAGCTCCTTGAAGTTCCCCCTAGGACCCTTTTAGGAGTGTGTACAGTCAAAAATATTTTGATATTATTCAGACTTTATTTGTGTTGGATATTTGCAGTAATTCCACAAAATGCAATGGTGGGTAAAGCTGTTGCTGCTGCCTTAGCATGAAACAAAGCAGTTGGCACCATACTATATCAGTAGTCATCATATGTCTAACTAACACATACAGTTAAAGGAAAAAATAATGTTTTACTTTAAGAATGCTCTTGATAAAGCAGTACACATTCCTTTTACCAAATCTCACCTCTTAAGTACGGATATTTTAACTATTCTTATAATAAGATGGGAAAAACACAAAACATTTCTTTTGCATACCAAAACATGAAGGATATCTAGAGAAAAATCACTTGAGACTGAACTGCAAGCTCAACTACCACATCATTTTCAAATATCACCATTTTAATTTGAAAGAATGACTGACAACTAGTTATTTATGATTGAGCGGCAGACATTTTCTTGAAAAATGAATAAAGTGAGCCTATGAACAAAGTGAGCTTATCAATTCCAAAGGAAAAAACTGACAATGTTTGTAGTTAATGATAAAATTTGAGCTTTTAAGCAAAATTTATATTAGAAAACTTGTATCAACACCATAAGATCAGAAGCTTCCCAAATGTAAAATGCCTTTCTAATAAGATCAGCAGTAATACCAATAAATGTAAAGTTTTTTATATTATATAATGAAATGCATCAACATTTGGCAGATCTGTGTAACTCAGTGAACCAATATATTCCAAATGAGCAATAACTAATGTTACAAAATCATGCGTGGATAAAATATCCATGCAATGTGCAAGCAACACCAGTGAATTTTAACAGAACAAAGTATAAAAAGTTCACTGACATGATATTTACTTTTTACATTATTGGAATTTCCCTGGCAGTCTAGGGGTTAAGACTCTGCACTCCCAGTGTAGCGAGCACAGGTTCAATCCCTGGTTGGAGAACTAAGATCCTGCATGCCACATGGCACAGCCAAAAAGAAAAGTTCCACATTATAACTATTAACCTTTAATATGGATTTCAGTGGTGGTCTGGTGGTTAAGAATCCACTTTCCAATGCAGCAGATGTGGATTCGAGCCCTGGCTGAGCCACTAAGACCCCACACGCTCAGCAGGATCTAGGCCCATGCCCCCCAACTACAGAGCCCACGTGCTCTGGAGCCCATGCCACAGCTACCACTGCAAGACAGAAGCCCGCAAGCTGTTAACACTGGAGCGGGCAGCCAATCCCTTCTCCAGGGGATCTTCCTGATCCAAGAATCAAACCAGGGTCTCCTGCATTGCAGGCGGATTCTTCACCAACTGAGCTACCAGGGAGGCCCTTTAATAAACTAACACTTAATTTTGATGTTCTGGCAAAGATCTAGTTATCCAAAAAAACTGCTAAAGTACACCTCTTTCGAATACATATCTGAATGAGGACTAATATTCTCTGTATATCTCAATGAAAACAACAGAATGAATGAAAACACAGGTATAAGAAATCAGCTATCAACTATTAAGCTACACATTAAAGAGGCTTGCAAAAGTGTAAAACAATGCCAGTCTTCTCATCAAAACTGTTTTCGTTTTGGAGTGCACTTCTGACTGAAAAATATGCTAGTTCTGTTAGAAGTAATGAGTTAAAATAAAAAATTTATTATCAAAATGAAAAAGTATAAAAACTGCTGATGTAACAAATCATATCTTTCCTTTAATAAAACCTATAAAAGATAAGCAATCTTAAATTTCAAAAGAAATTGAGAAACATGTTTATATCATTACTGCCAATTGTTTTTATTTACCTTGGACAAACAAGCCATAAGAAAGAAAAAGAAGAAAAATTCGGCATTATTTCAAGTGAAAACCATAGGAAAAACTACATTCTACACTAATAGTGATATCTATTCCCAAACTGGCACCAGTATATTCCCATCTCTATCTACTTTAAGATTACTTCATATAAATCTTAAAAGTTACTGGACTTCCCTCGTGCCCAGAAGAGCCTGCCTGGAAATGCAGGGGACACAGGTTCAATCCCTAGACCAGAAAGATACCACATGCAGCAAGGCAGCTAGGCCTGTTCTTCGTAACTACCGTCTGTGCTCTGAAGTCCACAAGCTGCACCTACTTAGCCTGTGCGCTGCAATTACTGAGGCCTGTGAGCTCTGGAGCCAACGCTCCACTACGAGAGAAGCAATGACAGCAAGAAGCCTGCTCACTTCAACGGGAGAGTGGCCCTTGCTCACCACAAGAGAAAGCCTGTGTGCAGCAATAAAGCCCCAGTGAAGTCAAATAAATAAAGTTTAAAAAATCTTAGTTAAAAAATAAAATGTTATTAACTTAATAAAAAATATAATTACCAAACCCATATCATCAGCTAAAATTCCTCCATGAACATTTTCTGGTCGGTCCTTTTCAGAAAAATTTGTTATTGTGTTATAGTATAAGTCACTTCGCTGTTCCCAGAATGGTGGAAGTTCTTCACTGTTTTCCCGTGAAACCATCCAAGCTAGAGCTTGTTTTTGATGAGGAAGCAATGGCGTTTCAATAGCCTATAGGAAATGTCATAAACAGAAATACAGTAAGCCCTTTCTTATAATAAACCCCACAAAGAATCTGGAAAACAGTTGATCTTCTGATTTAAAAAAATGTATACATTAATGCTACATTTTATTTATTTTTTTTCTTTTTTTTATATTTTTTTAATTTTTATTTTTTATTAGTTGGAGGATAATTACTTTACAACATTGCAGTGGTTTTTGTCATACATTGAAATGAATTAGCCATGGATTTACATGTATTCCCCATCCCAATCCCCCCTCCCACCTCCCTCTCCACCCGATCCCTCTGGGTCTTCCCAGTGCACCAGGTCTGAGCACTTGTCTCATGCATCCAACCTGGGCTGGTGATCTGTTTCACTCTAGATAATATACATGTTTCGATGCTGTTCTCTTGAAACATCCCACCCTCGCCTTCTCCCACAGAGTCCAAAAGTCTGTTCTATACATCTGTGTCTCTTTTTCTGTTTTGCATATAGGGTTACCATTACCATCATTCTAAATTCCATATATTATGTGTTAGTATACTGTAATGGTCTTGATCTTTCCGGCTTACTTCACTCTGTATAATGGGCTCCAGTTTCATCCATCTCATTAGAACTGATTCAAATGAATTCTTTTTAATGGCTGAGTAATATTCCATGGTATATATGTACCACAGCTTCCTTATCCATTCATCTGCTTAATGCTACATTTTAAAATTTCAAAGTTTTAGATAGAAAATACTGGCTCAGTACCTCAGCTGGTTCCATTTCCTGAGTTTTATCATCTTCTTTTAAATCTTCAAACAATTTGTCAAACTCTGTCTTAAGCTACCATAAAGAACAACAAGAAACACAGTGAAACAAATCAATTAATAACTGCACTTAATTCAGAGACTTCAATTTAACTAGTCATTTAACTAGGAGTTGCATACCAAAAGGTACATAAAATATATTAATTCTTTGAGATACTACACTGCTCAATAAAAGCAGAGTAGATCCTTTATGAAACTGTTATAGTCGAAAAAATATAGGATGGAGTTTTAAGTCCTGGGTTTCAGTCACAGTTCTGTCACAAATAAACCTTTATATAACTTTGGGCAAGACATTTAACTTATATGGCCCTGTATCATTTATTACCGCAAAACAAACAGAATGAACTAGATTTAGAGTGTATCTAAGGTTCCTTCTGCCATTGAAATTCTATGATTCTACTAGCTGTATTCAAATCATTTTAGCAGATGCTATCAGGTATATTTGACTTTTTCAAGTAAATAACATTACACTGATTAATACTATAATCAGAAACTTGCTATGTGCAACATAATATTACAATAATTTCAATCTTAATGCTAATTTAGTTGGTTCTTTAAACTGATCTTGTCCAATTTTATAGTAACATATATGTGTTATAATTACTTTTGTAAATTAGCAAATAAATACAGAGCATCAGTCCAGAAGAAACCATGCCAAGTCTAAAAGCGAGGAGAGGTAATCTGGGGTTTACCCACCAGACACAGGCTCAAGCCCTTCTAACAATGAACAGGGAAAATACACTACCTACCTTAGAATATAAAAAGGCTAACACTGATGAGTAGAGACAAAAAAAAATGTGTAATTTTTTTTATGTTTGTGTAATTGGTAGATTGATTTCACTAATTTATTTTATATCTGTTTCCTCCCAACTAACCCAGTGTAATAGTATCCTGGATCACAAAGTAGACAAAAGTAAGAAACAGACTAAGGCCAAAGATTTGGAACTAGTTTTTTTAGCACTGAATTTGTAATCTTACTGAAAGGAATGTTTCAAGCTTCAATTTTCTAAAAATTATGGATACTTAAAAATGTTCAAATAATACAAAAACATCAAAATATAATAAAATATTCCACGTATATATAGCAATGAATGTTTCAATATATGCATATATATATGTATGTAGCTATACACCTTATCACTGCTTTCTTTATACATAAATATTTACAATATATTTTATTGATTCTATGTTTCATAACAATATAAAATCACTAACACTAGCACATGCATACTTATCTCATTTTTAAACATCAATCTTCAACATTTAAAATTCCTTTCAGATTATAAAATTTAAAAAAAGGATACCTGTTCAGTTGTCATCTGTACTGCAGCATGAACTGGCATACTATAGCTTGGCCCAGCTCTTCCAGAGCCCCAACCACTTTCCAAACTGAACCCTAAAGCTATAGTTTACAAAATGAAAAGAATACAAAATTATCTTTCAGTAAATTGTTTTTAAAGCTTGTCTAATAAGCTAAATTAAAACTTTCCTTAATACATTTTTAAACATTTCAAACGTAAATTTCTTAGCTCATTCAAAAAATACATTAAAAGGATTCCACATGATTTGAACTTTTGAAACACAAGTAATACTTTTTCATTCTCTATTAGGAAATTCTTTTTGTCTATTACTTATTAAAAAGAATGTTTAAAATCAGGAATTTCCAGGAATTAACACTGGGGAAAATCTGGGGAGGGCCCTCCCTGTACATTTTTCTGTGTGTGTGTGTGCAACCTCCTATGAATCTATTATTATAGATTAAACAACAAAAGAAAAAAAAATTCATGTTAAATGTTAAACAAAAAAAATTCAGAGATGTCCGTCCTAAAAAAGAACTTGGAGGCTTCAGCACTAATTAATTTAGTCAACCAAACTCAAAACTATTAAGAGAATAAATGTTTTATAATTCTGGCATCTTACAAAATCAAAATAATAGTATATTAAACCCTAAACTTACATTTTGGTGCAGGTCCCAATTTAAATCCATGTTTCTTTAACTCATCTAAAACTGCTTTTCTATTTTCTTCTTTTCCCCAAAATGTCATTTGCAGAGGCATGGTAAAAGTATTGTTTGCACCAAAAGGAACTACCCTATTATAATTAAGGGAAAAAAATGAGAAGTTAGTAGAGTTACTTCTTTACATTTAATTTTAAGTCCCATTAAGAATCATGTTAAATAATGGTCACATTCAAATTCTGCATGGAAGTAAAACAGAAAGAGACTGTGGAGGACAGAGAAGCCTGGAGCGCTACAGTCCACGGGGTTGCAGAGTGGGATACGAATCAGCAACTGAACAATAAAAAGGAACTAAGTGGGCAGACCAGCAAGAAAAGAACATGGAGGAGGACCAATAGTAAAAAGGGTGTTTAGGGTCAGAATGCCAGAGGAAACAAAGATGAGATAAGAGTTTAAATACATAAGATAACCTATTACCAAGGTTGTAAGATAAGTAAAATAGGAAGTTTACTTGAGAAGGTAGAGCTTTCACTAACAGAACCGCTGAGTGTAGCAACCCATTCTGAGAAAATGGGGAATGATTTCGAAGAATTATTTCTGATTTGGGATTCACTGAAAGTTTACTCTCAACATCTGAAAAACCTGAGAAAGGAGATGAACTGAGAAAGGAGAAAACAAGTAAACAAGTGAGAAGACACTGCTAAGTATTTATCTTCCAAACTCACCTTTAAATATCCTAAAGAATCTACACTAAAATGTAGATCACAAACACAAATGCATACAAAACATAACCAAGGAGACTGAGTTTTAAAAAAGGAACAGGTGGTAAAACTAAGAAGGGATATGCCTAATTAATACAACAGCTGCTACCTAGCTCCAGTCAAATGATGTCATGTGAGTATTCTGAATTACCAGATCTTCCATTTATCAAGAGAAATCTTTGTAAATAATGTTTTATAATTAGGGAAAAATAATATGCATAAAATGCAGAATGTCCAGATATTTTAATACTGGAAATGACTGAAAAAATTTAAACACTGTGTAGGCAAAATCAAACTCATCTGCAACTGATCACACCTATCAGCTTACAACCATATTTAAACAAACATTCCCAAACTTCTAAAATCTACACACTAAAAAGGCTTTTTTTCCTTCTCAAAAAAATTAGAGATACCAAGGGAACATTTCATCCAAAGATGGGCACAATAAAGAACAGAAATGGTATGGATCTAACAGAAGCAGAAGATATTAAGAAGAGGTGGCAAGAATACACCAAAGAACTATACAAAGAAGATGTTAATGACCCAGATAACCATGATGGTGTGGTCACTCACCTAGAGCAAGACATTGTGGGCAAAGTCAGGTGGGCCTTAGGAAGCATGACTACGAACAAAGCTAGTGGAGGTGATGGAATTCCAGCTGAGCTATTTCGAATCCTAAATGAAGATGCTGTGAAAGTGCTGCATTCAATATGCCAGCAAATGTGGAAAACTCAGCAGTGGCCACAGGACTGGAAAAGGTCAGTTTTCATTCCAATCCCAAAGAAAGGCAATGCCAAATAATGTTCAAACTACTGCACAATTAAACTCATTTCACACGCCAGCAAGGTCATGTTCAAAATCCTCCAAGCTAAGCTTCAACAGTATGTGAACCAAAAACCTCCAGATGTACAAGCTGGATTTAGAAGAAGCAGAGGAACCAGAGATCAAATTGCCAACATTCACTGGATCGTAGAAAAAGCAAGAGAATTTCAGAAAAACACCAGCTTCATTGACTATGCTAAAGCCTGACTGTGCGGAGCACAACAAACTGGAAAATTCCTCAAGAGATGGGAATATCAGACCACTTTATCTGCCTCCTGAGAAATATGTATGCAGGTCAAGAAGCAACACTCAGAACCGAACATGAAACAATGGACTGGTTCCAAATTGGGAAAGGAGTACGTCAAGGCTGTATATTGTCACCCTGCTTATTTAACTTATATGCAGAGTACATCATGCAAAATGACAGGCTGGATGAAGCACAAACTGGAATCAAGATTGCTGGGAGAAATATGAATAACCTTTACACATGCAGATGATACCATCCTTATGGAAAAAAGCGAAGAGAAACGAAAGAGCCTCTTGATGAAAGTGAAAGAGAAGAGCGAAAAAGCTGGCTTAAAACTCAACATTCAAAAAACTAAGATCATAGCAAACTAAGGTCCATCTAGTCAAAGCTATGGGTTTTTCCAATAGTCAAGTATGGACGTGAAAGTTGGACCATAAAGAAGGCTGAGTGCTGAAGAACAGATGCTTTTGCAGTGTGGTGTTGGAGAAGACTCTGAAGAGCCCCTTGGAGAGCAAGGAGATCAAACCAGTCAATCGTAAAGAAAATCAACCTTGAATATTCACTAGATGAACTGATGCCAAAGCTGAAGCTCCAATACTTTGGCCAACGGATGCAAAGAGCCCATTCATCAGAAAAGACCCTGATGCTGGGAAAGACAGAAGCCAGGAGGAGAAGGGAACAACAGAGGATGAGATGGTTGGATGGCATCACCGACTCAAGGGACAGAAGTTTGAGCAGGCTTGGGGAGGCGGTAAAGGACAGGAAAGCCTGGCGTGCTGCAATCCACAGGGTCACAAAGAGTCAGACACGACCAAGTGCCTGAACAACAAGAACAAAAAGGATTTTTGAAAAAGGCTTTTTTCCTAAAAGATCGTGTGGACTTTCTAATATTTGAGGCTAAGTCTCTTTTTCTCCATGGTAATAATTTACCAGGAAAGTGAGGGAATAGCTATTTGATGGCTAGGGTAGTGCAGGCAGATGATAAAATTAAAACATTTACTGAACACATACTAAAGGTATAGTGACAAAAGTTGTCAGGGCAACTATACATATCCTTAAATTCCAAGAACACCACAATTCACAATTATTAAAACTAAACTCCAAAAGTGCATTACCCTTCAATTTGTGCCAGTTTGTTGTCCATGATATAGGCCAAGGCAGCTGCAAGATCTTTCTTTATATGACCAACCTGATTTCCATTCACATTGTTTACTTTAATTGCATTCTTATCATAGGGGTTATTTGGCTCTCGTTGTAATGCAACCATTTCATTATTATTAACCTGATAAAAATAAACAGATATGTTATAAATAAGTAACATATGATAGATTTCTTCACTGTACTTTATCTGGGATTTCCATTAATTTTTTTAATGCTTACTGAATAACACCCCACATAAGAAATGTACATTTTCTTAGACTCATATTTCTATAGAAATATTAGAGAATATATTTTATAATTCTTTTGCAGTATTTTCCTAATTTATATTAATTGGGAAGTTAACAAATTCTTGATATATAAAAGGTACAATCAAAACTAACAGATACACATTATACAAAATTCCCAACATAACTTCAAAAACAGATATCTCTTTAGTGCTTATTATATACCAAACATTGTTCTAAGTATCTTATTCAGACTGACTTTCAAAATTGTCACAACCCTACTGGTAGGTCTTATCATTATCTCCATTTTGCAGATGAAGACACTAAAGCACAGAAAAGTAACTTGTCCAAGGTCAAAGTTAATAATCAGTAGCAGAGCTTAGAATGTGAATCCAGGCAGGCTGCCTCCTAAGCCTAAGTTTTCCAGAATCTGAAAGGGGAAAAAGGTATTAATTGTAAGTCAGAATGGAAGTGGATCAAGAAAACACATCCAGCCTTCAACTCCTGCCATTATCTGATTCCACTTAATCAAAAACTGCCACTTTTCTAATTGAAAATGGAAGAGTAAAGATTTCCAAAAATTGTCTCTTCCATAAAAGCAATAAAAAATCTGGCAAAAACTGAATCAACTTTTCAGAACTCTGGAAACTAACCTAAGTGTCACAGAAACCTGGGGAGTCTTAATTCAAGAAAACAGCTGAATGTCAGTGCCCTAGTCTCACCTCCAGCTCTCAGTTCATGACAGCCTTTTAAAATAGAACCACCTGGTAGAATTCTCTGGTAGTTGCCAGAGTAAGCATACTGAAGTAGAATCTTTCAAAGATTCATTTCTATAGAACTGTCATTTGACCGGTATGGTAATTCCCTAGAAGACTCCCACTTACAAAGCTGTTTCTGCTTGACGTTGGAACTTATTACCCAGAACATAAAACCTTCTCCCTTGGGTGGGTGTTTATAAAAAACAATTTTACAGGGACCTCCCTGGTGTCCAGTGGTTAAGACTCCACACTCCCAACACAGAGGCCCAGGTCCAATCCCTGGTTAGGGAACTAGATCCCACATGCCATAACTAACAACTAGTACAGCCAAGTAAACAAATAAAAATATTTTCTTAAAAATTTACAAGCAATGGTTAATAGCTGAGGCAAACAAAACAATAACCAAAGAGTTTAAAAGGAAAAAGCAGAAAATAAGATGTCCACAGGGGCTTTGAAAAGCTCCAGCATACTCCTGGAAATCTAGAAGGGCAAAAGCAAGCACATAGCTATTTACATGCCCAGGGTTGTGCACATGTTCAAGAAAGATCTGAGAGGCCCTAAACTCTTCCCTCTGGCTAAACCTGAAGATCTGAACAGGCAGAAAACAAAGGTTAAGGCACAGTTGTCAACTGCCAGGCTGAGTATCAAAGGAGTGCCCCAAATGCACACAGGTCCTCTCAGGAAAGACTGGGAAATTTACTGGTTCTAGTTCAATCATTAGCTGACCACTAAGCTAACCAAATAAGCTATCAGTCACCAAACACAGCAAAAACTTTTACAAGGTTAATTTAGAAAAGTCACTAAACAAACGATTACTAAAATCAACAACAATCAGCAACCATGGGAAGAAGGAAGAATATGATTTTGCGAGTTGCCACGTTGTTTTTTTGTTGTTGTTCACATTCTTTATCTCACTTATTCTTTTAATTGGAGTACAGTTGATCTATACTGCTGTGCTAGTTTCAGGTGTATAACAGCGATTCAGTTATGCACATGTGTGTGTACATACACACGTTTGTATGTATAGAGACTATTATTTTTCATACTCTTTTCACTTAAAGTCGTCACAAAGTCTTGTGTGCTGCTCCCTGTGCTACACGGTAGGCCCACACTGGTCACCAGAACTGTGTACATTTTAATCCCAAACGCCTAATTTATCTCTCCCCCCACTTCCCCTTTGGTAACTATGTCTTTGGACCTATTTCTGTTTTATAAATAAGTTCATTTTTATCTTTTTTTTTAGATTCCATGTATAAGTGATATGTGATACTTGTCTTTCTCTGTCAAATTTACTTCACTTAATATGATGATCTCTGGGTCCATCCATGTTGCCGCAAATGGCATTATTTCACTCTTTTTCATGACTGGGTAATATTTCATTGTATAGATATACTACATTTTCTTTATCCATCCATCTGTTGATGGGCATTTAGGTTGCTTCCATGTCCTGGCTATTGAAAATACTGCTGCAATGAACATTAGGCTGCACAAATCTTTTCAAATTATAGTTTTCTTCAGGTATATGCCCAGGAGTGGGACTGCAGGATATGATTTAGAGTTGCCACATTATGCAAAACATCTAATTTTCACCAACAAAAAAACATGAGACATGCAAAGAAACAAGAAAGTATGTCCACACATAGGAAAAATGCTATCAATTACCTATCCCTAAGGAAGCACAGATAACAACTGGAAAAAAATATTAAAGTTTTAATTTTAAATATGTTCAAAGACCTAAAGCAAACCATTTCTAAAGAACTAAAGGAAAGCATGAGAACTATGTCTTGACATACAGAAATCTGGAGTCAAAAAAGTACATAGTTAACTAAAGTTCAAAATTCACTAGAGAGGACCAAACAGCAGATATGAGCAGGCAGAAGAAAGAATCAATGAAGCTGATGATAGGTCAACTGAGATTATAATGTCCGAAGAAGTTAGAGGAACAGAAAGAAAAAAATGAAGAAACATGAACAGATCCTACGGGACAATAGCAGCATACCAACACACACAGAGTCTCAGAAGGAGGGAAGAAAAAAAGGTAGAGAATACATGTGAAGAAGTCATAGCCAAAAACTTCCCAGATTTGATGAGAAAAACACTAATCTACATATTTAAGAAACTGAACAAATTCCAAGTAAAAAACACTTAGACTTCAAACCCAGACACATCCATAATCAAACTGTGGAAAGAACACTGAAAACAACAGAAAGAAGCAACTTGTCACATACAGGAGCTCCTCAAGAAGATTAACAACTGATTTCTCACCAGAAACCACAGGGGCCAGAATATAGTGGGATAACTTTTCAAAGTGCTAAAAGGAAAAAATTCAACCAAGAATTCTTTATCTGGCAAAATTATCCTTCAAAAATAAAGAAGAAATTAAGACTTCCCAGACAAACAAAAACTGAGAGAATCTATCACTCGCTGACCTGCTCCACAAGAAATATTAAAAGACCTTCAGGCTGAAATCAAAGCCACGACACAGTAACATTTGTGAATCTATATGGAGAAATAAAAAGCACAGGTAAAGGTAATTACACAGGTAAATGTAAAAGACAGTATGAAATTTCTGGTTTAACTTTTTTCTCCTTACCGATTTAAAAGGACATATAACAATCATTTTAAACCTGTACTGACGAATATACAATGTATATAAAGATTTAAGCTGTATGATAACAGCACAAGAGAGTGGGGAGGAAAACAATGGAACTATTTTAAAGCAAAGTTTTATAAAGCAAAGTTTTTATAAACAAAAGTAAGTTGGCACAAATCCAAAATTATGAATTAAGATAACTGCAATTCCCATGGACATTAGTAGTTAATAGTAGTTTCTCAGTAGTAGAAAACAACTCAAAATTTAGAATAAAAGAAACAAGAAGGGAACTATTATATATTTAACACAAAAGAAGACAGTAATGGAGGCCAGACCCAAGGGTTATGTACTATATGATTTTTTTTATATGAAATGTCTAAAGTAAGTAAATCCATAGAAACAGAACATAAATTAATGGATGCCATGAGCTAAGGGAAGTGAGAAATAAGGAGTGATTATTTATAATAGTAATAGTATACTGTAAAGTAATAGTATAAGGTTTCTTGGAATGATGAACATATTTTGGAATCTGACAGTGGGGATGGTTGTACAACCTTGTGAGTAACTAAAAACCACTGAATTGTACACTTAAAAATGATAAGTTTTATGATATGTGAATTACCTCAATTTTTTAAATTGCCTGAAAAATATGCAGGAAAGCTGCTTAAATCTCCCAGTATCTGTCTACTGACTTAAGAGACTACAGTCTGACTAACCAGATTATCAGACAAATATTACTCCTTCAAGATATTCTGTGAGGCATAACTCTGTTTTCTACCAGCCCACCTTCCCCATGCCACTCTTAAAAGCATGATTTTCTTTAAACCATATTAATGCAAATTCCAGGAAATATATAACCAAAAAGTAGGGCAAGATGTGGAGACTATAAAAACAAAGAAAATATGATCCAAGCACAAGACAAAAAAGAATATATTAAAACAAGATTAAGACAACAACAAAAAGAATCAGGACTAATTATAACAGTATCTTTAGACAAGAAATAATCTATTATAAAGGCTTCGAAGGGTCAAGAAATAAAAAAATGCAAACATAAGCAAATAGAAAACATTTTTAAAAAGTTAAAATGTATAATGCCGATATTAAATAACAAATGTAGGAGATACAGCCAATGCAGTACTTTGAAGAACATTTAAAAGATTAAAAGCTTTTATTATTAGGATTAAAATTAAGCATTCAAATCAAGAATCCAAAAATAAAATGAACCTAAGGAAAATAGGATAACAGACTATATAAATCAATGAAGAAAGATGATAAACATTAAAAAAAAAATTCAAGAAAGATTACATGAAAAGATGAAACAGATAAATCTCTATTGATCAATAAATCAATAAAAATCAATAAATCAATAAAAAGAACAGACACAAATACATAACACAGTGAAAACAGGAATAAAACCATAAACATAGTCAAAATATTGTTAAGTATAAATGACTTATGCAAATTTTGTGGCAATAAATTTGAAAATATAAATGGATGCTTTTTGATAAAAATATAAATTGCCAAAATTGACTCAAGAAGCACCTTAATAATGCTGTTTGAATGAAACCAGACTTAAAAAGTACATATTGTATGATTCAACGCATATATGAAGCTCTTGAGAATTCCCTGGCAGTCTAATGGTTAGGACTCCATGCTTCCACTGCAGGGGTCACAGGTTTGATCCCTGGGCATGGAACTAAGATCCCGCATGACTTAGGGAACACCAAAAAAACAACAAATAAAACAATGTATATGAAGTTCTAGAACAGGCTAAACCATCTACAGTGATAGAAATCAGACTGGTGGTTCTTAGGGCAAAGGCACGGATGAATGATTGCAACAGAATACAAGAGAACTTTCGGAAGTAATGGAAATGATCTGTATGTTGATGGGGTAATGATTATTAGGTATATATGTTTGTTAAAACTCAGAATCATGTACTTACAATGTTTACATTTTTATATGTATATATATATAAAAATCACATCTCAATAAAGCATAAAAAATTTGAAAATAATAAATAAAAAATATACAAAGATAAATACCTCAATTTTAATTTCAATATTTTTATCAGTGATCAACTCCAAAATGTCCATCAACAAGAAAATAAAAGGTACAATATTTGTATTGACATAAAAAGACATTATTCCTAATATTTTACTTTAAAAAAGGTGATAATATATATAACACGATCCTCATTTTTGTTAATGTATAACAACACTGCAATTCATATGCATATGCTCTCAAGGTAAAGTGTGGAAGACATAACAAAGTTGTGGTTCTGGACTGAGGGAGATTTACTACTTTTTCTTTTAGCCATTTTAAAACAATAAATGTGTAGTACTTATAAAATAATACACATTTTATAAAATTAAAAAATTAAGCAATAATAAATTTTAGTCAGCCCAAATCAGCCCATCACATTTTTAAATAGCTTACCAGTGTCACAGAAATTATTTTAAGATCAACAAACAGTGTTCTATAATAAAAAACAACCATGATTTAATGGTTGTTTAAATTTAAGATAATTTAGAAACAACATTTAGTTTGGAAAATTTTCACAAATCTAAAATAGGAAAGTTCTGAGATGAGTATGAGAGCTGGAGAACTGACGGGATACATGAACTGAGAACTGATAGACTTCAGGAAAAAAACAGAAAAGAAAAACTAAAGAACAGGGACTTCCCTGGTGGTCCAATGATTTTGACTCTGTGCTTCCACTGAAGGAGCACAAGCTCAAAGCCTGGTTGGGGAACTGAGATTCTGCCTGTCACACAGTGCAGTCAAAAAAAATACTAGTAGACAGAATTAAAGAATAAAGTAGAAAGAACACGAAAGTGAACAGAGCTTGTTAAAAAAAAATGGTAAGGGAAATAAATGATGAAAAGAGAAAAGTGAAAAAACATGATAAAAATGATCTCAGGAAGTAACTGGCATATGTATATACACAGAAGATTTAATAGAGAGAGTAGAATGGAGAGTTCTGAAGAAAAAAACGAGCTTTGAAACAGAAACCATTTACAACTATAATTAGGACTTCCCTAGTGGTCCTGTGGTTAAGAATCTGCCAATGCAGGAAGCACGGGTTTGACTTCTGGTCTGGGAAGATCCCACTTGTTGAGGGGCAGCTAAGCCTGTCTGTCACAACTGAGACTTGTACTCTAGACTGTGCTCCGAACAAGAAAAGACACCGCAGTGAGAAGCCCAGGTACCACAACTACAGAAACTCCATGCACAGCAAGGAAGACCCAGGGCGGCCAAAAAAAGGAAAACTATAATTAAAGTTTTCCGAAATAGAAGAAAACAAAGTTACAAAACGATCAACACTAAGACATTCCCTAATGAAAACTACAGGATTTCTAATTCACTTACATAGGAGAGAAATTATATTGGCATTTCACAAATATCTTATACAACATCAAGATATCATGGGCTTCCCTGGTGGCTCAGTGGTGAAGAGTCCACCTCCAATGCAGGAGACATAAGTTCGATCCTTGACACCACCAGGAAGGTCCCACATGCCGTGCAGCAGCTAAGCGCATTCACCACAACTGCAAAGCCTGTGTGCTAGAGCCCAGGAACCACTACTAAGCCCACCTGCCCCAGCCATTGAAGCCCATGCGTCCTACTGCGTCCCACTGAAGCCCATTGAAGCCATTGAAGCCCATGCGTCCTACTGCGTCCCACTGAAGCCCATTGAAGCCATTGAAGCCCATGCGTCCTAGAGCCCGTGCTCTGCAACGAGAGAAGCCACCACGAGAGGCCTGTGCGCCACAACCCAAGAGCTGCCCCCACTCTCTGCAACTACAGAAAAGTCCACGCAGCAACAAAGACCCTTCACAGGCAGAAATAAATAAAACTTTTTCAAAAAAGATATCATGGAGAGAAAATATGAGTCAAGGATTTTACATTCAACCAAACTGTCCTTGAAGTGTATCACAATTACAAACATACAAAAACTCAGGAACTATTGTTACTTCTTAAGGAATCTCCTAGACAACACACTTCAACACATTTCAGACAACCACAAAATGATTTGAGAAGCTCTAATATTATAAAGAAAGTATGAGAGGATAAAACACTAAACAAGTGGAATTCTTCCCCAAGGAATCTCCTGTAAAACATACTTCACACAACCAAAAAATGATTTGAGAAGCATCAACATAAGAAAAATATGGGAGAATGAAAGAACTGGTAAATCAAATGTCCGTAGAAGAATATAAGCAGCTTATGCAATAAATCAATGACATAAAACAAAGAGTAGGGAGGTGATTTACCTAACAACCAAAGATACTATTATTAATTTGTTTTGATCCTAATTCAAAAAAAATTAATTATAAAAAGACATTTTAAGCAATTAAGAAAACTGGTTATATACTAGCTATTGGATATAAAAGGGAGTTATTATTAATTTTGCTATGTACAACAATGATGTAAGAAAATGTCTGACATTTTTTAGAGATACACACTTAAATGTGTAAAGTGATACAGTTGGCATTTTTAGTACCAAAGGAAAAAAGTGATGAAGCAAATGTGCAAAGAAATTGTTAACTACTGAATCTGGATCATGAGTATATGGAAGTTTACTGTATTATTCTACTTTTATGCATGTCTGAAATTTTTCAAAATTAAAAAACTAGAGATATACCAACAAGATAACACAGAGGCATACTAGGCAACCATAACAAAGACAACTGCTTTCTCTTTGTCTCTGTTCTCTCTCTCTCTCACACACACACAATGCAGAGAATAGACACAAAAAGAGAAACACAGGAAGAAAGAAAAGGACCTAAAAACAGACAAGTCCCGTATCTAGCATGAATTGATCTTCCTAACTTTAAAAAAAAAAAGTGTAGAAATGGGCTCAAGGACAGGAGAAGAGAAAGCAATTAACTGACTTAGAAGTCACTTTGCAAACAGCATCTGTGCTTTTTGGGCAAATCATTTAACCTTCCGGAGCTTTAGTTCTTCAGCTCCTGAAATGGGATAATAGGCGCTCCATCTACACAGAGACAGTGCAGTGCTCAAAGGAGACTACACAGGAAACAGTGCTTTGCACACTGTAACCATGATATAAAAGTAAGAGAACATTAATAATTAAGTATGTGTTATCTCTTGCCCAGATATATTTCAATTATTTAAATATTTACTGCACATATCACCTAATTCTTATTTTCTAGGTTAATAACATCACATCACATTAACTTAATATCTAACGCTATACTTACCACTCCTGTGTAATAGCGTAGTCCAACGACATGGCCTCTCAAAGTTCCAAATAGAACTGAATCTAACTCTTCATCACTTGTTAGGAAGTCATCTGGAGGAATAATATCTTGAAATTCAAAACGAGGAAAGAAAGTTGGGTATGAGAGGCGTGGAAAATTTCCATGGACTCCATACTGGACAGTCTGCAAGTACTTCCAAACAGGATCCCTATTGGGAAAAAAAAAAAAAAAAAAGGGCACAAAAATACAATATTTAACCAAACAGTCCTCAAAGACCATACCATATTTAAAGGCCAATTGCTTTCTCACACTTTATTTCAACAAAATAAATCGAATATGGGAAGTGCTGTATAGAGATGAAACGCGTTCCTCTGGCTAAAGCAAGGATTGGAGTCAGTGGGGGAGGTTTCTAGAAACCCTACCTGTTCAATAATGCGTCTTCTACCCGTAGGTATTCAAAGTGAAAACACCAATAAGGGTTCACAAACCTTTCTCCGTCACAATCACTTACTTAAACTGAAAAATAATGTGATGTCTGTAATTAATTTTACATCAAAATTTCAATACTGAGCTAGAAGAAACTCGAAAATATAGAACTACTTTTAACATGAAGCCACTTGCAGTTTTACAAATAATACATTCAGCATCCATTACTTTATTCCCTTCGAAGAGAACCCTTCTTTTATTCAGGAATCTAAATCGTGCCATCACGGGAAGCTTACCCCAAGCCTCCCAACTTGGTTTAAGGGTAACCTCAACCCCTGGATGGAGAACTGTTTCCGGAACGAATATGTAAACCAATTCAGACAATGAAAAGTAACAGGCAGTCGGCTGGGGCCTTCCAGGAAGCTTCCACTTTTCTGGAATGGATAAAAGCTATTTCCTCTGCGTTTTCCTCGAGCGTCGCGCACACCGCTTTTGGCTCCTCTGCAGAGAGATATTTGCACGCCTGTGCATACACAGCAACTGCGAGGTGCTCGGGGACAGAGGCTGTCTCACCCGGCCCTTTACGCCGAGCACAATGCCCAGCGCACAGTGGGTACCTGATAGGTGTTTCGTGCAATACGGCACAGGCTGAGACCCCGGGTAAGCAGTGAGCTTAGAGCCCCAGGCGCCCAGCATCCCTTGACAGACTTTCCCCGAGGCTCTAGCAGGAGGCTCGCCCGAGGATCCTCCCGTCTGCATTTACTTCTCCCGCGGCTATATGAGCCGCCAGCAGGACGAACAACAGCTGCAAAGCTCGCACCCCGAACGCGAAGGAAACGCTGGGAAGGTCAGGTTCATTTCAGGACTCCTCTAGAAGGTTACCGCCGGCGCCCCACCCCCCTCCGCCCCCTTCACCTCTTGAACATCCAGGACATGGCGCTGAGTGCGTGACGAGCGGAACACTCAGACGCCCAGGATCGTTCTCAAGCCGCCTAAATAAGCCTCCTTCCAGGCCTCGCGGCCGCAAGCCCGTGACAAATTCCGAGCGCCGCAGCGACAGCCCCACTCCAGGAGAGTAAGACGCCGCGAATCCAGTCAGACGTCTACAGTACCGTCCGCTTCCAGCAGCAATTTGAGCGACTAGCGACGCTTTGTGACTGGCATCCGGAAAGTCCAATCGCAAGGAGGGACCTACGGAGGCAAACCAATCAAAGAGGAGGAGGGAGGGTAACTCCGCCCCGCGGAGCGATTCAAAGACTGGGGGGTGGTCCCAGCTGCAGGGGTGGTTCCATCCGGGTTCTTCCCCGCCCCCAAGGCTGGGCGCGGGAAAGCCACGCGGCCCCGGTAGCACGACTGTGGTGTTCAAGGCCTCCGCGGTTCGTCTGATTACCCCCCTCAAACGGAGGGCGACAACTCCGCTTTCCGCTGTTTCCCTCAAGCCGTAAGCCTCGGCCCCATTTTTCAGGCCTTACCTCATCCTCGTCCTAGTTTTCTCTTCATCTAATGTGACACGTAGTAGGGACTTCCACTCAATAAGCTCCGCACTTTACGAACCCTACCAGCCAGATCCTTCACTTCGTTTTCTGTGGTGAATCCGGGTAGTTGCCCTCAAAATATGCCTTTTAAGCCCCGCGAGCGAATCAATGAGACACCGGGTTCAGAGAGTTTAATTTCAATTTAGATTTATGGCGTTTCCATTTCTCTCTCGCTATCACATTTTTTTCTTCTCTTTGAGGGAAAATTTTCACTTCTACCAGAGGAAAACCACAGAAGGCAAGGAGAGCAAAAGAAGCTCGTGGGTGACTGCCGGAAGTGTCCCGGCTTCCCTTGAAGGCACGTGACTATCCCTGCAATAAGGGAAGAAGCTGGTTTTCCTCAGGGAACTGTAGGGAGGGCTCCCGCGTGTCCAATAGCCTGCCTTTGAGAGTCTGAGGGGACTCGGTAGAATTCAGCTTTGAGTGGGCGGGTGGGCCGGTGCAGTCCAGGTACTGACCGGGCTGGTCTCTGCACCTTGTCAGCCTTTTTTTTTTTTTATAAGTTTGAAAATTTATTTTTTTTTCCCATTTAATTTTATTAGTTGGAGGCTAATTACTTTACAACACTGCAGTGGTTTTTGTCATACATTGAAATGAATTAGCCATGGATTTACATGTATTCCCCATCCCGGTCCCCCCTCCCCCGCCTCCCTCTCCACCCGATCCCTCTGGGTCTTCCCAGTGCACCAGGCCCGAGCACTTGTCTCATGCACCCAACCTGGGCTGGTGATCTGTTTCACCCTAGATAACATACATGTTTCGATGCTGTTCTCTTGAAACATCCCACCCTCGCCTTCTCCCACAGAGTCCACAAGTCTGTTCTATACATCTGAGGAAGCTGTGGTACATATACACCATGGAATATTACTCAGCCATTAAAAAGAATTCATTTGAATCAGTTCTAATGAGATGGATGAAACTGGAGCCCATTATACAGAACGAAGTAAGCCAGAAAGATAAAGACCATTACAGTATACTAACACATATATATGGAATTTAGAAAGATGGTAACGATAACCCTATATGCAAAACAGAAAAAGAGACTCAGATGTATAGAACCTTGTCAGCCTTTTAACTGATGGAGCAGCAGCACCAGGGTATAAAGCTGGCCTGACCTGCCTTTCAGATTAGGTGTAAATGTCAAGGCAAGTGCAGGATCAAAGAGGAAAGGTATTTGAGAAAGTGATTACTGTTGACCCTCACCCTTCAAAGAATCGTCGTTTTACACTTCCATCAGCAGAGGATTTGGAGAAGGAAATGGCAACCCACTCCAGTGTTCTTGCCTGGAGAATCCCATGGACAGAGGAACCTGGAGTGTCTTCAGTCCATGGGGTTGCAAAGAGTCGGACACAACTGAAGTGACTTAGCACCACAGCAGAGTATTAGAGGTGGTCAGTGAAACAGGTTTTTACGAGGCATTTGTTCATTATCTTAAACTATCCCAATCTGTAAATATGAACCCAGTGTAGAATGAGAAGTAGAATTTGCAGCAACTCAGTACTTCATTTTACTGAACATGCTGGGCATGTGAGCTTCCCTGGTAGCTCAGTGGTAAAGAATCCACCTGCCAGTTCAGGGACATGGGTTCAATCCCTGTGTCAGGAAGATCCCCTGGAGGAAGACATGGCAACCCACTCCAGTATTCTTGCCTGGAAAATACCAAGGACAGAGGAGCCTGGGGAACTACAGTCCATGGGGTTGCAGAGATTTAACACAACTGAGAACGCGTGAACACACATGCACAAAAGGCATATGGGATCTTAGTTTCCCCACCAGGGATCCAACCCATGTTCCTGCAGTGGAAGCACAGAGTCTTAACACTGGATGGCCAAGGAAGTCCCTAAATTATTTCAGTTATTTACTTTCTTCTAGAAGTCTTAGGAGGCAAATGGCAGTATAGTTCAATTTGGGGTGTGCCAGATCTAAGTTCTTGGAAAATATGCCCCAAAATACCAAAATTGAAGATGCTTTGTGTATAAAGTTAATGAGGAAGTTACGTTCACCAGATTGAAAGATAAAATTTCAAATGTCACAATACAGGTAAACTTGATCCGCTCAAGACTTGAAACCTGTGAGCAGTGACCTTACCATGGTTAAAGAATGTGGATTGAATGAAGTAAAAATTTGCTAAAGTCAACATTTTTGTCCATATTGTCACTATTTTACATCTCAGATCTAGCAGTTGAACTTCAACTTGAGCACTCTTTCACTTAATCAGTATTATTTTAGTGTTTAAAAAGTGCAATGTGTACTAGTTTGATTAAAATGTTACTACACTTATAAATTCATAACTCTCACATAAGATAATGTTTTCTGAAAAATGAACTTGTAGCTAAAAAATAGAATGGCAATTGTACAGTGGCTTGTGTGTTGGACTGATGTGTAAGGAGGAGAGTGTCACAAAGAGGTTAACAAGATAAGAGCCAGATGATATAGAAATTTAAGGTCTATGGTAGAGTTTATATTTTATTTTAAATGTAATAGAAAGCCATTAAATGTTTCACACAGGAGAATGACAATCTAATTAGGCTTAAAAAAATGCAGTCTGGCAGCTCTGTGGAGAATAGATTCTAGGGAAAGAGAACAGAAATGGAGAGACTGGTTAGATAATCAGGAAATGATTGTGTCCAGGTTAGAGATGATAATACCTTGGAATGGGGAAGTGATGAAGCTAAGCTGACCAGGAAAGTTTGCTAATAAATTTAGATATGGGTAGCTAATAAATTTAGATATGGGTGCTGAGGGAGGAGAAGGAATAAAAAATTCCTTTAACCATCTACCTCCTAGTTAAAAACATGCCTGCTCATTCGTTCCCCCTCTATGCAAATTAAACATGTCACTTCCTTGTTTGATGCTATGGGCATGAAATCAAAGAATGGCATGTGTGGCTTTTTATAATCCGTCGCCTACTTCCCATTCCTATCACTTCCCAACCCATGCTGCCTATAATGACCTTCGCATACATAACCACAAGGCCATTCTCACACCCAACAAAATTAATAAAGCAATCCTTGGTGTCTTCTAATAACTAGTTCTTAATTCAAATTTCACAATTGAGATTTTCCTGCATAAAACATTTAACGCCATTTCCTTCTCCAGGGGATCTTCCCAACCTGGGGATGGAACCCAGGTCTCCCTCATTGCAGGAGGACTATTTTCTGAGCCGCCAGGGAAGCATCTACATCGTAAATAATGTGGCTTTTTGGCAGTATACGTATTAGAGCCTCTCAAAGATTGCCAGAAGCAAGGGTTTTCTCTACACCCCCAGCAGTAAAGGAGTAAAGGCTAATGAGGCGGCTCAGTTGGGGCCCAAAGGCAACCCTGCAAGGCTCACAGGGGCCTCCATGAGCCCCCAGCATCATGCTTCCAGTGAGCGGGACAGCAGACTGGAGCCGAAAGGTGAGGTGAGATGAGGTACACCAGCAGCGGGTGGCTGCAGAAGACGAATGAATGAGGCTCCAAAATTAAGTCCCCTACAGGGTAAAAGAAAGAAAACTCAATTTGGAAACTTGAATTTAATTGGTATTAAGGATTGCAGTGGTCATGTGTGGATGTGAGAGTTGGACTGTGAAGAAAGCTGAGCACAGAAGAATTGATGCTTTTGAACTGTGGTGTTGGAGAAGACTCTTGAGAGTCCCTTGGACTGCAAGGAGATCCAACCAGTCCATCCTGAAGGAGATCAGTCCCGGGTGTTCATTGGAAGGACTGATGCTGAAGCTGAAACTCCAATACTTTGGCCACCTCATGAGAAGAGTTGACTCATTGGTAAAGACCCTGATGCTGGGAGGGATCGGGGGCAGGAGGAGAAGGGGACGACAGAGGATGAGATGGCTGGATGGCATCACCGACTCAATGGGCATGAGTTTGAGTAAGCTCCGGGAGTTGGTGATGGACAGGGAGGCCTGGTGTACTGCAATTCATGGGGTCGCAAAGAGTCGGACACGACTGAGCGACTGAACTGAACTGAACTGAAGGATTCCCTGGTGGCTCAGTGGTAAAGAATCCACCTGCAAAAAAAAAAAAAGAATCCACCTGCAATGCAGGAAACATCTGTTCTATCCCTGGGTGGAGAAGATGCCCTGGAGAAGGAAATGGAAACCCACTCCAGTATTCTTGCCTGGAAAATCCCATGGACAAAGAAGCCTGGCAGGCTACAGTCCACGAGGTCACAAAAGAGTTAGACATGACTTAGTGACTAAACAACCACAAACTCTTAAAATGACCGAAGTACCTGGAGGTGACTAAATCATTGCCTCCCATTAGGCAAACTGAAGGGTAAGACAAATTAAGCTCAATAAAAAATTATAAAGTTTTGTCTTCGTGAACAGTCAGTAATTGAAATTACTACATGCCATACATCCCTATACACACACCTCTCAATGAATTTACATCTAGGTATGTTTGGCAGATACTTCTACTTGGTTGAATTAGGAGATTTACATTTCCTTCTTTTTGCCTATATGCATGTAAAATATTCTCTATACTGAATATGTATTGCTTTTTTAAATAAGAAAATAATAAAAGCTATAAACTAAATTCTTGTAAAGAAATCAAATTTTTCAACTTGCTATTTTAATAATTTTAGACTTATAGAAAACTTGTGAAATTAAGCACAAAAACTTACCTCATATCTCTTACCCCATTTCCTTTTACAACACACATAATCATAGTACAATTATCAAAATCAGGAAATTAACATTTGTACAGTAGTATTTCTGAACTATTTTTTCAAATAAGACAAGGCAGAGGAAATGATAGAAAACAGTCTTGTAACTACTTATTTACAACCAAATTTTCTTACACTTATTTGGGACTACTATAGATATGGGGGCAGATATGTGAGGACAAGAACTGATAGCGTAGAGGAAGTAAGGTAAAATGAATGCCAAGTAAAATTCTTCTTAATTAAATACTGCTATCAATATCAAGTGCCTGCCTTGAAGTAAGCACTCAATAATTGCTCTTAAAAGCCCATTCTTATTACTGTTATTGTTGTAATAGAGTTATTATTTAATGAGTCTTCCACCACTTAATAAGTAAAATAGTTCATTGAGGGTGATTTCCTGATGCTTGTCAGCAAGTTGTTCCTAAGTAACAGAATAACACTGTTTTCAGAAGCCAGTGATTTTCCCAGGTGCAAGTCCTTGAAACAGACTGAAAAGTTTCGTCAAGAACCGGGAGACACTCTTTTACCAACTCCCACTCTGAGAAATCTGTGGTGTTCCAGATCACAGAGGCCTTTCCCAGGAGATAACTGTTTCCTCCTCCTTTAGGCCTTGGCTGGGTCTGTGCTCCTACGTGCGGGGCGACCAGAGTGGCTAAAGCATTAGGCCTGCCCTGCGATCTGTCTCCTTTCCCTCCTGCCCAGGATCCTCATCTCAGGGTCAGGAAAGCATCACTGGTCTGTGAAAAAGAAAACCATAGTCCCCAAATGGTGTCACTGACCCTAAAAAAACCTGTGATAACAAACCGAGTTTTAATACCTGATTTAAGTGCAGTTTTAACCTCTCCCGGAATGTAATCTTAATCAACCAGTCTGGAAATTTCTGCTCAAGCACCAGTAATCTGTCACCCTGGCCCCTCTCAATCCTCCGGAGAAACAGGCAATCTGCATGATAAAACCCTTGTGGTTCCACTCCACCCAACCCCACACCCAAGAAAGAAGGGCCTAAAAATAATCCTTTCTTTCTTTTGCTAATAGCTTCCTTGCTACCTCACCCTTCTTTCATCCCTCACTTTAAACACCATGCAAACCAAAAAATAAAAGTCCACATCAGACTAAAAATCCTACCATTAGACAACTGTATAGCAAGGATACTATTATCCCAGTAGGATTATATCATATACAAATAGCTACCTATTCACAAAATATCCCCCTTCAAAGAGGAAGGAAAGCATTACATATATTACTGTTTCAGATTTCTATCCTTGAGGTGGTTGGAAGTCCCAAAACAAACACAAAAAAATTACACATTTTTCTTCATCATCACTGAGGATTTATTATCCCAAAAGACCTATGGTCTAAATCCTCATTTCCTGATTCCCAGACCAGTGTAATGTTTTTCCCCAGATCATACAATTTAATCTAATAATTGAAAATATACACAGAGAGATAATAAGTCACACAAGAATCCAAAGTTTTTTAAAATGCCCCCCAAAAACAGTTGGGGTGGGGGGAGTGGATATGTGGCATCGCACTACAGAACTAAATTTAGTTAAAGACACATAACTGTTTCTTAACTACAGGTATTTTATAAAGTACTTGAGAAATGAATAGTTTATAAAAATGAGGTAAAAAATTTCAGGTGGGAGCAGAAAACTAAAACATGTCATACTTTGGCAAAGTCTTTAAAAATGTCACATCCTTAAAAGGATGTTTTATGAGATTGTTCTGAGGCTGAATCATACAGGAGATAATTTTCAAGCCATTGCACTTTGGTTTTTTCCTCATATTGGCTTCAAAGTTGTCCCTGTGTAACAGGAAGGAAAGAGGCAGGACACAACCACGTGGGTTCAATCTGTGGGAAATCAGGTAAATCTGTTTCACTTGGAGGACAAAATTATTCTCAGTTAAGAATCATTGTCACAGTGCTCGGGCCTGGTGCACTGGGAAGACCCAGAGGGATTGGGTGGAGAGGGAGGTGGGAGGGGGGACCGGGATGGGGAATACATGTAAAAAAAAAAAAAGATACACTATGGTTGTGATAAAAACAAATAAATAAATTAATTAAAAAAATAAATAAATAAATAAATGGATACATGTGAATATGAAAAAAAAAAAAAGAATCATTGTCACGAATATGCATATGTGCTCAGTTGCTGAGTCATGTCCTACTCTTTGTGATCGATAGGCTGCAGCCTGCCAGGTTTCCCAGGCAAGAATACTAGAGTGGGTTGCCATTTCCTTCTTCAGGGGATCTTCCTGACCCAGAGATCAAACCCATGTCTCCTGCATTGGCAGGTGAGTTCTTTACTGCTGAGCTACCTGAGAACTATCTGTATACTGATCACTACCAAATGTGTATTTCTAACCCAACTTCTCTGAGCTCCAGAATCATATGTCATGAACATCTTAAATTTACAAACCTGAAATAGGACTCCCTTTTTTTTTTTTTTTAAGCTACACTTCACAGCTTGTGGGATTTTAGCTCCCCAGCCAGGGATTGAATCCAGGCCCTCAGCAGTGAAAACACAGAGTCCTAACCAGTAGTGAGCCAGCAGATCCCCTGAAACAGGACTCTTAATCCACCTCTCCCCTTCCTCAACATGCTTATTCTTCTGGTTTCCCCCATTTCAGTAAAGAGCATGCCAAAAAAAACTTCATCGATTCTTCTCTTGCTCTTACACCACCCATTTTATCCCTCCTATTAGATCTACTTCCAAAATATAACACAAATTTACCTAACTTTCTCCATCTTTATTATTATCACTGTGTCCAACCCACTGTTTTCTCAGCTGAACTGTAACATTGCCATGGTCTGTCTGAATTCCTTCCTATTTTCTGTTTTCCTCATCTTAACCCTACTCTGAGTTGCATTCGCCATTCAGAAGCCAGAGAGATCTTTTTATACTATCAATTATATCCCATCATCCACCTGCTAAAAATGCTCCAATGAATTATCTTTGCCTTAAAATGAAATCCAAATTCTCCCACAGTACGTTATCTAGCCCTGCCTCTCTCTTTTTAATCTTATTTCATTCCACATTTTCCTGGGCTCCTGATGTTCTAGGAATACCAACCCTCTTTCCGTTTATGGCTTACGTACTGCCAAGATTGTTCGGGCCTCCAGGCTTCTGAAATTCCTCTTTCCTTTGTGTGGACCCCCAGACCTTTCCCTGCTGGCTTCTTGTTTCAGGTCTCAGCTCAAAACCACCTCCTCAGAAAGGCCTCCCTTGACTTTCTGATCTAAAGCACTCATTGCTCAGTTCCTCTCTCTCCCAAGAGTCAGCGAACTTTTTCTGTAAAGGGCTATGGAGTAAATATGTTCACCCTTGTCTACATCACTCTGCTGCAGTAAGAGAAACGCAACCATAGACAATACTTAAATGAGTGGGAATGGCTGTCTCTCAATAAAATGTTATTTACAAAACAGCGGGACTTGATTTGCTTGTCCCTACTCAGTCACATTATCCTGCTGTGTCATCTTCAGAACTTACAACTAACTGGAATTACTTTGTTTTCTTGATTACTTCCTGTCTCCTTTCCCTAGATAAGCTCCACCAAAAAAGGGACTTTATCTTTTCACAGTTTACATCCTGCAGTAACTAAAAGACAGTCTCGGTACTCAGTAATTTGGCTGACTGGATCTATACAGTAATAAACTTTCCTTGCATTTGATATCATTTATGAAATCACTTTAAGGCAGGAGGAGAAGGGGACAACAGAGGATGAGATGGTT